AGTTTTCTTTGCCTTTTTATCTGTGTTGTTAACCTTAAGCTGTGCAATTTGGCTCCTGAGCTCAGCGATTTGTTTGCGTAAGTCATCACAGTTATCATCTATTTCCAGTTCACAAGTGTTTTTACTCTGAGAGCATGTTGTTTGCACATTTGAATACACTCTAGTTCGTTGTGCCCCTAAGTGTTGTTTCATGCGTGCTGCTTTAGCAGCCTGTTTGTCTTCTTCAGTGCGCAGTTTGAGGAGAAGTGCTGTAAAATGAGGCGGGTTGTCTTTCTTTTGTTCGAGTTGCAGGTTTGAAATCAGCGAGCTGTCCCAACAGCCTCTGCAAAACTGCTTGAGCAGCTGCTGGTCGGCGTCACTGGAGGAAATTCCATTCCTCTGAATAACTAGGTTTAACAAGGTGTATAACCTCTGAAAGTAATCGGAAGGTTTTTCACCACTGTCCTGGTTTGTGTTTAAGAAGCGAGCAAAGAGCTCGTCGCCGTCTTCGACAGCTGCGTAAGCTGAATCGAGATGTTCAAGGTACGTTTCCGGGTCGGATTTTGGACTAAGAGCTTTAACGATGCTCGCTGCTGGGGCTGACAGACTCTCCACGATTCTTCGTACAATTTGGGACTTGGTGAGTGAAGGATCATTTATGCATAACACTACACTACTACGCCAAGTATCATAGTCAGTTTCAAAAGAAGGGTGTGGAACTCGCCCTGAGAACGGTTTTAGTCTGTATTGTGAAGTAGGCGGAGGGATAACCTCACTGCTTTTAACAATGTGTTCCACAATAACTCGCTGAACCTCAGGTGTGTTTAAAAGATTTGGTGGAATGCAAGGGTTTTGTTTTCCAGTCTCTGTAGGTGGACAATTGTCCTTTGAGTTGTTCATATAGTTAACTTCTGGTGTTAAAGGCAGGGAATATGTAACTTGGTCACTATGGAGCATTGGCTCTGGTTCAGTGACTGGTTCAGATGCATGGGTATCCCTTCCTAAAGATTCCCCAATTTTTGCCAGTTCCTCCATTAGAAGGTCTTTAAATGATTGATTGCTACGCGCAGCTATGTCCCTGAGCTCTGACAGATAGGCATCAGTGGCAGATGTGCTAGTTTCTAGACTGTACGCGCTGGCTAGGTCTTGAATATGAAAGAAAACATCTGGGTTCCTAGTACAAGGTTTGTCATAGGGTAAACATTGTTTCTTTAATTCCTTAACAGTGGCTTCATGTTGAAACTCCACAATAATCTGATCACAGTTTGGTAACTTAATGCGCCTGTTAACTGGTCCGAATCCTTCCATAAACCCAAAGACTTCGTTATCAAGGTCTGTATCAGTTAACCCACTGATTAAAACAGCATTTGAAACTTTGACCTTTTCTGTTTTCACAACTTCCATTTTAAAACACTCAAAAGTACCAATAATGCCAAAATGGCAAACCACTGTGACCTCCAGGCACTCTTATGATGTCAGTCAATGGTTAGCTAAGGTAACAACTCTACAATTCTCCTGGCTGGCTCGCCAAGTTTTATGTAACCGGATTACAGGATACAATAAGATAATTAAAAGAAAAAATAAACAAATGGGCCAATAATTAGGTTCGGGGAGAATTGGAGGTTGTTTAAGAATGACTGGAGTCACGGGTATAGCATGAAACGGTTTATATACTAAATTTTAATAATAATGGGAAATATAACACATAAAGATAACACACAAAAACAGATGAAAACAATCGACAATAGTAAAATGGTCGGTATGAGATTTGATCATATGAGTCACAAGTCAGCCGGCGTCAAGTCAAATCCCCACGCTTGGGGTGAAAGTCAGAGTCCGGTGGTGCGATTTTTTCCTACCACACCGTTGAGATTGTTCACAGAAGAGAGCAGTCTGCTCTTCAGTTACTTGAGATGTCCTGGTTCGTTCAGTGGTTAAGGCTCGCCATCTCCCTCGTCAGGAAGAAATCCAGTTCTCGTTCCAAGTGAGTGATCATAGGAGTCGGGATCAAACCCAAGGAAAAAAAAAACCCAGCCTGTAAACAACAGGACTGTTAGCGAGTTGGCATCGACCCTTCTCGTCACATCACAGCATAAAGTCTTACAGACTTAAACAAATGCTTCACTCTATTGGCATAGCCAATCATGTTTGGGTTCACAGTTCAACTAACATAACATCAATTTGATTGTCTATTAAAATAATTCTCAGTAGCTCTGGAAATATAATTACATATGACAACAATTGTTCAGCTCAATAGGCTCAGTTAGATTCTATTACTCTACACTATTCAACAAGAAATACATTCATGACAACAAGGATACATTTAGTTGTGTTTCTATACAGCATTGTGACACCTTGTATATCTGTAACACAATAAATAAATAAATAAATAAATAAATAAATAAATAAATAAAATGTTCTATAACAAAATTCAACAAAATATAAATTCTGGTCCTTTGGTCCACCTTTGTAAAATAATTCCTCCCTAATCAGTTAGCTTTTATTTATTTTTATTTATCTATTTTTTTTATTATTAAATGTTTGGTTAAGGGACGCATTGCTAATTCTATGGCGTTAGCTATAACGCCCCTGAGGACCTTGTACATCTAGGCCGTACCACCATTAACTGGCGGTTTGAGCCGTTAACTCCTGGGAATCCCATATGCCCTACCGCCGTTAACTGGCGGTTTGAGCCGTTAACTCCTATATGCCCTACCACCGTTAACTGGTAGTTTGAGATGTTAACTCCTGGGATCTAACGTCTAGCAGCCCACTGCTGTCACCTCGGTTGCTGTAATTAGCTTTTTGAATTTAATAATTTACTGAATTTAATCTCATTCACTCACCAACGCGCTCCAACGGTTCCCTCCTACAGAGGATTGGTTCACTCTGTCGTCTCCACACAAATCTATAAGAATGGAATTAATTTGATAAGCTATTTAAGTTTCCTTTTTTTTTTTAAGTTGCATCGTTAGCTTTTTCTCTTCTTTTTTCTTTACTCACCGCGTTGGTTCCAAGTTCCTAGCTCTTATTAGAAGGAGTCAAGTCCGCCTCTCCCTCTATCTATGCGGCACCCAAATCAGGGTTCTTCACGGCCTCGACCGTTGTTTTTTTTTCTCTCTCTCTCTCTCTAACCGCTCAGTCTTTGCTTTCTGTATCTGCGTGCTGCACAGCCGTTTGTCTCTCCTCTCGCTCAGCTGCGTCGCACGGTTTTATTTCGCGGAGGCGGGACTTATTTCTCTCAGCCAATGAAATTTCAGATTCCCACCTGGACCAATAGTATACAGCTTTCCTCTTCTGTTTCTGTTAGTGATGTTCAAGATTCTTGTTTTAACCGATGTTTAATATTAAACTCGTTATTTTAGTTATTCACCCTTCCAATAATTCATTATGAAATTATCTATTAGTTAATTAGATATCTATTAATTAGTATTGTTAATTTCCTTAATTTATATTTTATATTTTATCTAAATTGAGGATGGATCATATTAGTAAGCCAATTAGTTAATACCTCATTAAGGTTCTAGCTTCTGGGTTACACAACCATTAAATTTATTCAGGGCCAGATGCCGAATGACCACAGAAGTTTTTGTAATTCTACTCTATTTGGTTATGAAGTTATAGCCATTTTTTTTTGGCGAGTAGCCAAACTTTGAGGCCTGACCCCGCCCCCTCAGCATATACAAAAAGTCAGTTTCATTTTTTTTCTATTTGATTGGCCATCCCTTCTTATCAATTTCGCACAAATGTCGAGACGATCGTGCGAAAAATGATTGAGAAAATCAATCAGAAGCGGACCTTAAAAGCGGCCGAAACGGGTAAAAATCGCCATTTCAACCCAAAATGGCCGACTTGCTGTTGAGTACTACACGTGTACAAAATTTCATTACTGTACGACAAACTAAGGTTTATGGAGGGGGGTATTTTTCACATTCTAGGGGGCGCTGTGGAACTAGTTTTATTGCGATTTTTTTGAGACCTTTAAAATACAAAATTTGACACCACGCCTGACATGTGTGCAAAAATTTCCGAGTTTTCGGGTATGTTAAGGCTTCCAAAAAGCCAATTTACTTGGTGGAAGGAAAATGAACAGAGCAGATACAATAGGCCTTCGCAGCGCTTTTGCTGCTCGGGCCTAATAATAATAAACAGAGCAGATACAATAGGACTTTGCTGCTTCGCTGCTCGGGCCTAATGAAATCTAACTCTTGACGCTGGAAAACACAACGGAATTCCCCCCACAGACTTATTAACGGGGCTTTGTAAAAAATGACGCTTCTTCTGGTCAAACACCACATTTTACATCACACAGCTGCTCTCGTCCTCTGAATGGATTATGATATACTTTGATAGATGCTTTTTGACGCTGATCTCTCGCTGCCAGAGGAGTCGTGATGTGCTGCCGTCTGTGCAAAGTTCTGAAAGGTCTGAATTTGAATGTAGACACAGCAGCTGAGAGGACTGGGACGTCGTATCTCTCAGTCAATTTCCCCGTTCTGGTAATGGAAACACAGGTATTTGTTTCTATACACGGAATGCTGTACCTACCCAAATTTGACCACACTGCACTTTTAATGTAATACCATTTAGATTTAAAGATGTTTGACAGACTTATTGTCCAGATCAGATCTTGTTCTGGCTAGCAGCAGCTAATAAAGGAGACTTAGAATTAAGAGGCTGTCTCTCTCTGTCAACTTTTCTTCAGAATGAAATGCATCTGTTTAAATGATTACGGTAGTTTCACATGTGTTGTGCAACAATGAGATATGAAATTGCGGCTGAAGCATTTTCATCATTGCATGATATGAACTTCATTAACTAAATGCATCTGGGGAAAAAAATGACATCCAGAATTTTTGAAAATAATTTGATACGTTTGAGAATACAGTGGAGTTTTGCTGTGAATTCACATGTAGTAAAGCTGAACGCTCCAATATGAGGAGTGTATTTTGTGAATACCTGATTGCAATGAAATGCTACAGCGCATCGACTCTAACGTGACTTTCTCTGCTCTTGATCAGAATGATTGAAGACTGCTGGCAGCGAGGTGACAACATGGCGGACAGAAGGCAACTGTATGTCGAGATGAGTAAGTGCTCTGGGCCACGGTTCACTCTGATGCACGCTGGACCGATTTACTCACTGAACATTAAAAACCAGCAAATATTCCTCTGTTGAGCATCTCTACACATGTCCTTAAGATTGATTGGATCTATTTTTCACACATTGTAAAGAAATCAAACGTGTTTACAGGAGCACATTTGTTCTGAACTGTATTTTCTTGTTTCATTAATCCAATCCAGATTTATTTATTGATACACAACAGAACCAAACAGTGCTGATCAATAAAAAGAAAAAAAAAACATAAAAACCACACTACAAATACATAAAGCTAAGAGACATAAATGTATATATATATATATATATACACACACACACACACACATACATAAATATACTGAAAACACGAAAACCACAAGTGTACCACAGCAAGAACCACAAGCCAAAGGTTTTAAAGGCTGTAAGCGAGGAGGCCGGTTTAATACAAGGAGGCAGCTGGTTCCAGAGCTTAGGTGTAGCCACAGCAAAGGCCCGATCACCTCTAAGCATTAACCTCGACCTCAGAACAACCAGTAGCTGCTGACCAGCAGACCTTAGGTGTCTTGGCGGATCACAAGGCTTGAGATGTTCAGACGGGAAAAAAGGGTGCGTGCCAATTTAAGGACTTGCACGTCAAAAGAAGTATTTTAAAACACCAACAACAACGGGAATCCAATGAAGAGAAGCCGGCACTAGGGAGATGTGTTCCAACCTGCGGGTACTTGTCAGCAGGCGAGCAGCACCATTCCGGACTAACTGTAAGCGTGAGAGACACACCTGACTCACCCCGACATAAAGACAATTGCATTAATCTGGTCAGAAGGTGATAAATGCTCTCTCTCAGTCTCTCAAAGTCCTTCCTCGCTGAAACAGATTAAATTTTTGCCAGTTGCCTTCATTGGAGAAAACGTGACTTTACCGCAGCATTTATATGCTTGTCCAAGTGAGCTCAGAATCAACCATAACATTAGGTTTTTTTTAACGTTTATGTGTGTAATCTAAATCTTGCATATCGATGTTCAGGTGTGGATCACTGACAAACCCTTTTTATGATTATTTCTGATTATAACAAGTCTCTGAGTGTTTCATGCAGGCTGAACTTGAAAAAAGTCTCCTACACCTGTCTCCTGCATTAACTTCTGATAGAAAATAGACGAGGGAAACTCTAGGATTTGAAAAGCCTGACAGGTTTACATCACACTGTAGCTAACATTCATGGAGTCACCTGTCTTGACTTGTGATGAGGAAGGCTGTTAGATGCTTGGCTAGTAGAAGCTAACAGTTAGCATTAGCAATTTCACCACACAGCAGAACTCCTCCGTGCTTGTGCAATTTGTGAAGATAAAACATCAACATTGCAAGTCAGCGGTAGAGTCATGTTGCTGTTATCCAATCAGAGACGATATTTCCAAATATCAGGAAATAAGACTCCAAATCCTGCTTATACAGGCACACTCCAGAGTACGACTTACAAGGCATTCATTCCTACTAGAGACTATTGCAAATGTATTGATTAAACAAATGTTCAACACCTTTATAAATAATTCCACATTAAGGTTTTTATGTGTGTGCTATGTAGAACTATGTAGAAAAAACCTAAAAGATGAGGAAGTTTTGACAGAATTGTTAACATTCACATGGACATTTTTTTAACAAACAGATTCTGCCATCAAAACCACTAATTTAATGTTCATATCTTCTTTAGGGGCCCAGGATTTGGACTCCATACGGTTGTCAACCTACAGAACAGCCTGCAAACTTCGATTTGTGCAGAAGAAATGCAACTGTGTGTCTAATTCAGTTCACGTTTGATCACACTCATAACTGCATCCAATCAAGACGCTCATGCCGTGTTTTCTATGTTTCCAGTGCACTTGGTTGACATTTGGAACGTCATCGAGGCTTTCCGCGAGAACGGCCTTAACACCATGCACCTCAGCGCTGAGCTTGCTGTGGCTCGTCTGGAAGTGGTTCTGTCCACGATCTTACACCAGCTGAACAAGCGCATGCCCACCACCCATCAGATCAGCGTGGAGCAGTCCATCAGCCTGCTGCTCAACTTCCTGCTGGCGGCCTACGACCCGTGAGTAACGAGTCACATGACGAGTCAGAGGGCTGCTGGTGAACTTTCACATAGGAGGTTTGAGCAAATGATGCGTGAAATGTGGATGCAAAGTGTTAACCAAGACGTTTGTGTCAGTAAAAGCACAACACGTGGGTGTACACTGTCGTTTGTGTGTAAGTGTGAAAGCAAGAGTGAAATATTCCTCAAGCTGTTATTCATTTTTATGCAAATGTGCATGTTTAGTGATGCCTGCCTTTCACAAAAATGGCTAAACTATAACCAGACTATAATTTAAAACATAATTTAATAAAAGTTTTTGTTTGTCTTGTTTTTCAGGGAGGGTCACGGCAAGATTTCTGTTTTTGTCATGAAGATGGCGCTTGCAACCATCTGCGGAGGGAAAATTCTGGATAAACTAAGATGTAAGGGAACTAATTTTACTTTAATTGTGAAATAATATGTTATTACATAGCAATAAACTGGCATACCTAATTATAAACCTAAAATATACTGATTAGTCTGTTGTTTCTGTTCATTTCAGCATCTGTTTAATGTGTTTTAAGAAAAGCAGCAGTGTTTTTTTAGTCCCCTCATGCTCAGCAGAAGTCATTGTTACTGTATTAAGTGGCAGGTTAGAGTTTATTAAATAATGTTCCATATCTGGGGGAGTTGCAGCTTGTAACAGAAAAATATGAAGGGCTAGCGTGTTGGTACAACTGATCATTATAACTGCTTTGCTTTGATTTGTTTACACAAACAAGTGGGATAATTGTGTTGTATGATTCTGTAATTAGCCAACTGTTGTGGGAACTGACAATTAGTTCAATTAACGTGTGCCCCCCTCCCCCTCCCCTACACACACACACACACACACACTTATCCCTCCTTATTGTTTCCAGATATCTTTTCACAAATATCAGATCCTGCTGGAATAATGGTTCCCTCACAGTTTGACCAGTTTCTGAGGGAGGTGCTGAAATTACCCATGGCGGTGTTCGAGGGGCCTTCCTTTGGCTACACTGAGCAAGCTGCACGATCCTGCTTTGCACAGCAGGTGAGGGTTCATTAATCGCAGCTTATCACTTCAGTGATTGTCGTGGCGATGACATTGTAGATGAGTCTTGCTCTTGTTTGCTCTGAACATCAACAGAAAAAGGTCTCGCTCAACACATTCCTGGACACGTTGATGTCAGACCCGTCCCCTCAGTGCTTGGTGTGGTTACCGCTCATGCATCGTCTCGCTAACGTGGAGAACGGTGAGAGGCGCCAACATAGAAATGTTTGCAAAGAAAGCATGTGTGGGGCAGGGGAGATGCAAGAGTTGAGCTTTGCATCACAGTTGCACAACTGGTCAAGCAGACGAAAATGCTGTGGAGACATTAGGCGCTGAGTGTATGTGTGCAAGTGTATTTGTGATGCTGCCATCACTGTGCACAATCCTCTGTTTGAGCAGAAGAAGAATAGTGCACACACATTGTGCTCATGCTGCAGTGTTATGCGTGTAACTGTCAACAAAACATAATCAATATCTCCCCACATCTGTCCTTGTCACACGGCGGCCGTAACAATCCTCAAATTAATGAAAATGAATCTTGTCCTCCCTGCAGTGTACAAACTATCTGTTATCATCACATCTGTGTGTGTGTGTGTGTGTGTGTGTGTGTGTGTGTGTGTGTGTGTGTGTGTGTGTGTGTGTGTGTGTGTGTGTGTGTGTGTGTGTGTGTGTGTGTGTGTGTGTGTGTGTGTGTGTGTGTGTGTGTGTGTGTGTGTGTGTGTGTGTGTGTGTGTGCGCGCGCGCGCGCGCGCAACTGTACCCCCCTGCAGTGTTTCATCCGGTCGAGTGCTCCTACTGCCACACTGAGAGTATGATGGGCTTCCGCTACCGCTGCCAGCAATGTCACAATTACCAGCTCTGTCAGGACTGCTTCTGGAGGGGGCATGCCAGCGGTTCCCATAGCAACCAGCACCAAATGAAGGAGTATACGTCATGGGTAAGGAAAGGAAATAGGAGGAGGGGGAGTTATATGGAGGCGTGTCTGCATGACATCAGTCACTGAGGCTATTTTTAATCTGCATGTAAGAATGCTGCTGTGTGTGTGTGTGTGGGGGGGGGGGGGGGGATCATTGTATTGATGTCCTTTTGTTTTGACAACCATTTGGCCTCTGTGCTTCTCCTAGAAATCTCCCGCGAAGAAGTTATCTCATGTCCTCAGCAAGTCACTGAGCTGTGCATCCAGCAGAGAGCCCCTTCACCCCATGTTTCCAGAAACGCCAGAGAAACCTCTCAACCTCGCTCATATTGTGTAAATACTTCTTGTTCCTACCTCCCCACTGCTAACTCACAGCCTGAAATGATTCCGGTCAATCACTCAGGTCAGCTGATCAATAGGTTTAATTACAGCCTTGGGAATTATCTGATTTGCAACTGTGCACCACCCGTTTTTAGCTAGGTTTTTTAGCTGTTTTGTGTTACGCAATGAAAAAATGCAATTAAGGCCTTCACAATCTAAATTCCTAAATTTCTTAAATTCTTTGCTTTTTGAGATCTGAAGGCTCTGGTTGCCATTTTGCAACCTTTCCATAATTTCTTTAGGTTTTTTTTTTAATACCAACTCTGACGCTTCTAATGGCTCATTTGGTTCAACCTAAAAAGTATGCCCGTTTCTTCCTGCTAACGGTTATTTTGCTCATTCTAAATCATCTCTGAAACAAAGCTGACAGGGTTTTATTTCAGTGTCAGTTTTTTAATAACAACTGGAAGACATATCACCTTATTGTTTTAGGGCTGCTGTGCCTCAATTATCAATGCTTTTAGTAGTCACCTCGCAGTTTGATGCAGGGAGATCATAATCAATTCTTTCAAGAGCTAAACTTGAATATAGGACCATATCAACAGCTATTCAAAGCAAAAACAAAAATTATTCTTGAGCTGGATACTTTGAAACAGCTTATAAATGTCATTAGGTCAGATAAAACTTATTTAGACTCAGATCAGATGCAACTCGCTCAGGTTGTTTTTACCTGAAGGTGTTTTGTGGTTTAGCTGAAGGAAGATCTTGAGCTTTCCTTGTTCCAAAATAGATGGATGCACCTGCATGACTCACCCCCCCCCCCCCCACCCCCACCCCACCCACCCCACACACACACACACACACACACACACAGCTCAGTGAATGTAAGCTAAGCTGGAAACACATGGCAGATGGAGAGAAGCCATGCACTTCAATTTTGTGGCATTGCAGGAGGCTGTTTGCTGCTGTTTCCAGGTATAAAATTCATGCATTTTTAATGTTAGCATTGTTGAAAGTTGTCTTTGACTGATATAAATCTATATACCAGTATATGCAGGATCCCACTTCATAAAAAGAAAAAGAAAAACTAATTTATTTTAGGTTACTATGACATCTCACAACTCCTATCATGCAGACAAACTTTAAAGATTATCCGTGCAAAACAACAATACTTCAATTTAGGTTAGACCAGTTTTGCCAAGCAAACAAAAATATATCTCAAAAACTAAACATTGGGTCTGTCATATTTTGATATTTTGAGTGAGAGGAGAATTAGCTGGAGTTTGATGTATAATATGTGCATGGTAAAGAGTAAAAACTGACAGGTTATTTCCGATATCACATTTTATTGCTAATATTGGCCAATAATATCGATATTATCATCCCTAATTAGAGCGACAATGGCCCAATCCAAATACTTGCACTGCCACACTTGCACCCTTCAGTTGCACTATCCAGGCTAGCGGTGCAAGTGCGTAGGGTGGAGCTATTCAGTTCCGGGCTTGGAGGGCCAGTATCCAGCACACTTTGGTCTTAACTCTGCTTCAACACACCTGATTTCAATCAGCAGGTGAATAAAAGGCTTCTGCTGAGCCTGATGAACTGCTACACAGGTGATTCAACCACTGAATCTAGTGTGTTGGACTAGACAAACCACTGAAACGTGCTGTAAGCTGGCCCTCGAGGCCCAGAATGAAACAGCCCTGGCGTTGGTTGTCCCCATTCTTAAGTGCGGAAGTTGATCACTCCTTTTTTCACCCTTGATCCACACTTCACCCAAATCTGCATCGATGCAAAGTGTATTACATCACTGGTGGAGAAAAGGCTCAAGTGCCTTTTCTGAAAATATGTAATTTCAAATGAAAGTAGTTCATTTTAGAATGAATGATTGATGTTTAAGACAAAGCAGCAATGAATGTAAATTTGCTTCATATAAATGTTTGGTTGTTTGTTTGAAAGTTGTTAATGAAGGTTTTGTTTAAAAGCAGCACAGCGACCAGCATCCCGGCATGCATTGCAGTCGTTGATGCAATGCTTCCTGTCCCAATTCCGCAACTATTTGCACACTTGTGTACCACGCACTTGAAGTCTTACTGCGCACTTCCTCCATGTGCACTTTGCTGACGACTGCAGTGGGACTGGGCCAATGTGCAGTTTTCACCATTAATCTGTGGAAATACCCATCAAAATGTTCTTGAAAATGGATTAAATGATGCACAGTTGTTGAAATACTATATTGGCTGCTTTATAACCATAAAAATCAGGTCTAAAATACATCGGCATGGGTCTCGCAATGCTGTATTAAACGTGATGTTTCCTTCTACGTAAGCCCGTGAGGGCAAAACACATTTACTGATTTGTAACAAGTGGTTACAAAACATTTGCTATTCATAAATGTTGTTTTACGCATTTAACTCTTCGCTCGTTGCCAGTGATGAAAGGGAGTCTGATGTGCTCGTCATTGAGGTTGAACGATCTGACGAAGTATTTGTTCAAAAATTGCACACAATGTTCATCCGTCGGTAAGGTCTTACTGGAACACAAAAATACTGCTTGCTTGCAATGATTTAGGTGTGTACTTCCTCCTATCGCCAGGGAAAATACACACTGTCACTTTAATGTTATAAATGTTTGTGCTGTTTGCTTTCAACATAAATGTCTTGAAATTGCAATTTGGACAGATTATAATAAAGTATTCCTTTCTTTGTTTTTCCTCTCCTCTTAGAGACACATGGTGAGTTTGTTTTAATTGCACCTTGCTGTGGGTTTGAATCCTCTTTTATTCGTACACACGACCACGTTTTGCCAAATCATCTACTGACCATCGCTTCTGAGGACTCACGTCTTTGCCGTGTTTATTTTCTCACTCATCAGTTCAATTTTTTATGTTTTCATGCTTGACAACATTTTAGTTACAATTTATTAACACGTGTCATTTACATATGTTCAAGATAAATCCATATGACTGAAAAATAATAAATATAAATAAATCTGAGTTTTAGCAGATATATAACGTTTGTTTCCCCTACAGGCCACCAAGACCAGTGAATCTTGCCAATGACTACTCCTTCTCCCACACCATGCCTACATCAGGGAACCCGTACTCCACCAAAAAGTGAGTGCAGCCCTGCTAACAAAGGATGTCCTGGATTTTACAACAGATCTTTTCAGCATGTCTGGCTCCCTCAAGGCCCCGTGACCCTTGCTATCTTTTCTTCCTTTATTTGCCAAAGTGTGTGTGCTGGTGTGTGTGCGAACCTTTGTGTGTATCATTTCCAACGGGGTCCTAGAGCTGAATATAAAGGACTTGCCTTACAGCCAGAATAATGATGCTGGGCAGAAAACAGCCCTGGCCTGGGCTGTTCCACACCTGTTGAGAGGAAGAGGGTAAGTGACACAGGTGTGTGCATGAGAAGGTATTCCTGCTGCAAATGCACGTGTGAAATAACGTAGTTAGTAATTATACGGTGCTGACTAGAGGGCTGTTTATTCTCATTAAACTATTTACAAACCTGTTTTTTATATTGCACTCAGGGGGCTGTTTTGTGAAGATAATTTGCCATCAGTTTTGAGGTGTGAGTTTTTTTTTATTCTTACAGAAATTAAAATAGGTGCCAGCAGTTAGATTGCCCACCAGGCTTACTGTTGACAATGTTTTGTTCAGATGGAATCAAACTAATTGGCTTTATTCAGATGCAGAGGGTTTAATTTGCTTTTCTGGTTGCTATTAATTTGATTTATTTGTCTAATAAAAAGATTTGGAGCTTTTCTTCCCCTGCACCTAAGAAACATGAACAAAACTCGAAGACGATGGGGTTTAATTGGTTGCGTTTTTGCATCACAGCTTCCGTTTTAACAGCTTAAGAAAGCAAATAAAGCAAGAATTTTATGGTCGCTCCGATAACACTTTATGGGTTTATTGCTTCTGTGCAGGTTTTGTTTTTATTTACGGAGGAGATGATTTTGTGAATTCAGGTGAGGCCTAGTTCATTATCCACACCATGTAACCCAGTAACCAAGTTTTTAACACAATTTCTCTTAAAGAGGTCCTTCACTGAGAAACCATTTTTTACATATTATATTTGAAAATGATCACTCACTCTAGCTTCTGGTAGAAAATAGACAGTGAACTCTAGGATTTGAAAAGCCTGTCCGATCTACGTCACACTGTCACTAAACATTCATGAAGTCGCCCACAACGGGGAATAGAGCCCTGCACGGGCCTAAAATCTGAGCCCGTGTCCGGCCCGGCCCGAGGGGGTGGAGCCCCAGCCCGACCCGGCCCGAAAAGGTTTTCAGGATTCTCTGACCCGACCCGAGCCCGACTTTTTTTTGACCAACTAAATGAAAACAAAGTACGTCAATCCTGACCAATGTGTTAAAAGACGTGCAGGATACGATCAATTTGTTTTCCCTCATTTACCGTCACGGAGATGACGGCGCACTGGCTCTGGTGGTAATCAAGTTAAATTTTACAGTTGTGGTCAGAAGTTTACATACACTTGTAAAAAATATAATATAATGGCTCTACTGAGTGTCCCGTTATTTCTAAAACTCTGATTTTTCTCTGATAGAGTGATTGGAACAGATACTTCTTTGTCACAAAAAACATTCATGAAGTTTGGTTCTTTAATGTCTTTATTATGGGTTAACAGAGAAAAGTGATCACATTTGCTGGGTCACTGCGTCCCCCCCCCCCCCCCCCCCCCAAGGTGCTTCATAACACATTCATTCAAACACACATTCACACGCTGATGGGGATGAGCTACGATTTAGTCGTAGCTGCCCTGGGGTGCACTGACAGAGGCGAGGCCTGCTGAATACTGGCGCCACCGGTCCCTCTGACCACCAGCAGGCAAGGTGGGTTAGTGTCTCGCCCAAGAACACAATAGCAGCATTCTCTGGTCAGAGCTGGGATCAAACCTGCAACCTTCCGATTACTGGATGATCTGCTCTACCTCCTGAGCTGCTGCTGTTCCAACTAGAAATATTTGAGACGTATTTGTGAAGATAAAATATCAACTTTACAAAGGAAACATGAGTGAGTGGTAAAGTCATGTTGCTGTTAGCCACTCAAAGACGAGATGTCCAAATTTCAGGAAATTTCCATGCTGAAACAGACGCGGCAGAGCTTTTATTCCCCCAAGTAAGATTTACAAGGCACAAATTCCTACTAGAGACCACTAATGTATTAAAAACATGAGTAAAGAACCTCTTTATAGCTGCTGTCTGTTTGTTTTGGACATATTGTTTTGCTGATTTTATCTGATTTTACCGTGGCTGACTGATTATATCTGGAACTATTCCTGACTGGATAGTTTTTATTCTTTTTTCTGTACCTTGTACATTTAAAGAAAATCATGTTGCTTATATGACACCTAAAATGAGATGTAGATACGGGGGAAACATGCATTTAGTTTAACCTTAAAGCGAATTTTATGTTGATACTTTTAGCAGTTATGATGAAAACTAGCACATTAAACTTTAGCAGATCATATTAGGCTGCTGTAATGATAAGTTGTTGAACCCACATGAAAAATACCTGCAAGACGGACAGAAATGTTAGTTAACGGTTTTATTTTAACACATAAATAAAGAACTCCTATGATAGAGTAGCTTATAATGCCTGATGTGGCTTTAGTTGTTCTTTTAGTTCTCACTGGTCTTGTCTCACCCAAATATAATATGGCCTTGTTCCTCTCTAGTCACCCATGAATAGCTAGCTGCTTTTCTCCTCCCCTTCTCTTTTGTTGTGTCCACCCCCACCCCCCATCCCCCCTCCCTCCCTCTCTCCCTCTCTTCCCTATGGTCCCCTTCTGTCACCTGTGTAACATAATGTTTTATGTTTTGTGCAACCTGCACCGTTCCAGGCTGAAGTACAACCTGGAGGTTGCCGATAGACTTGCTGACGAACATGTTCTCATTGGCATCTATGTGAATCTGCTCCAAAACCGACCCAGCACATGGTTAGTTGGTGTGGCGCTGAGCTCGGGACACAAATGGCAGTGCTGAACCTCCATCTTGTGACCTTTTCTCTCACGTAGAGGATTTCTGAGTGTGCTACAGTCCTAACAATGCATGCTAAGCAATCCGACTGGTGTTTCCTTAAATTCATTTTTATTATAATGCAGGGATGTCCAAACCTTTCAAGACAAGGGCCAAAAAAGTCAAGTTTAAAGTCATTGGGGGCCTCAAGAATGTGATTTTCTTCATTTAAAAAATGCAAACCTTTATTTTATGATCATTTTTTAAATTGTACTCGTCAAAATTGTTCCAAAACAGAATTAGGTAAAAATCTGAACAAAAACATATTAGAAAGTGGTGATCTACAGGAGGATCTTTTGTGACATCAATGTTTGTTTCTTGCATTGCATCATGGGATTGTGTGGCAAGAAATAGTATATTTTACCTTTTAATTTGGTTGTTTTGCATATTTGGAGGAGGATTTAGTGAAGCAAATGGATCATCCTTGTTGTGTGGTTGGTTGTTTAGCCCGTGGGAGGCTTGATAAAACGTTTTATTGGACTTTACTCCGTAAACGACTGCGAAATACAAAAGAGATGATTGTGTGTGGCCCTCTCCAAAGAAAGCCTGGATTCCTGCACCAACGGACAGGTTGTGAGGCTCATTTTGTTCATGGTAACTCTTTGTGACCTCAAGATGTTTGGAAGATTTTGACTTTTCATAAGTGATGGGTCCAGGGCTTTCTGTATAGGAATAAACTTTAATTTTGTCTTCATTACAGATTTTAAGCTTCTCTCTAAACCTCCTTCTGTCTTTGTATGGTAAAGTTTTTATATATTGGTGATTTTGTCCATAAACTCTCATAAAAGTGTAAGTTGCATATTGAAAGAGGCAACATTGTGTTTGTTACCACCCAGCCACACGCGCATTCGAACAAAGATGACAATAGATGTCAACAAAGATCCTCCTATACCAGCAGCTTCCTGAGGAGACAGATAGGGGCCACACAAAATCGCTCAGAGGGCCTCAAATGGCCCCCTGGCTGCACTTTGGACATGCCTGTTACAAAGTGTCAATAATAACTTGACTTCCATGGAGGTTTAAAGTAAATTTGTTTGACATTTGTCACATTTATAATAATAAAAGTGGCATAAATTTATGGTCCTTTTCTGCTTTTCACTGTAAAAACGTATGCATTCTGTCCTTTTTGATACATTATTATTATGCAGTGTGCTGCTTGTGTGTTTAATTTTAATAATGTATCGCTATATGAGTGAAAAAGTGAAAGGCAACTGGTCTTTTTCTCACCGCTTTCAAAAAATTAACCCTTGGTTTCTGCACTTTTCCATCTGTCTTGACCTTTTTCTGTAAATCTTGTGCTGCTCTCTTAACAAACTAACCAGACTTCTCATGCACATTAATGGAGCTTAGCAGTATTAATTGTGTTATGTTTTTGCTCTCTTATTTTCCTCTTGACCAGCTTGCTGGAAAGCAGTAACCATCATGATGAGGAGCACAGTCTTATTGCCCGCTACGCTGCTAGACTGGCTGCTGATGCTGTGGTGAGAAATGCATTTCATTGTATTTATATATTAGGGCATCTTTCATCGCTGTCCAGAGCCAAAGAAAGGCTTTAACATATGCTGCGTCTCCACTTTAGAGGGCTTCACTCCTGTCATTTTTAGCAGACTCGTATAGCTCTTTATCTCCGATCAGATCTTGGGAGGATGACTGGTGACTTAACTGCTTTGTTGCCTTCTGCGAGAAGCTAAAGGATGACATCACCGAGAGGTGAAGCCAGTTCACTTGACACCTCCTGCTTGGTTTCACCAACAGGCTCAAGAGCAGAGGGACCCCACAGACCTGCCCTACTCTCTGGACACTAACAAACAGCAGCGGCAGCTCATCGCAGAGCTGGAGAGCAAGAACAGGTCAGGGATGACTGCCTCTGACAGGCTTTTCAGCCTTTTTCTGTTAAAATTCACTTTTACAAGAAAAGCAAACTTCACATAACAGTCATTATAAAAATATCACATTTATTATTGGTTACTGTTTAACTGTAAGAATATAATACTCTAAATGTATATTCTTGTTACTAAGATTACAATATGTAAATGTAATGGGTATAAGGTAAACAAAGTCACAGAATACATTAAATGTGACATATTTAAGGTTACTCAAAGTGTGGCACACTTGTACTTAATTAAGATTTTTAGCTAAAATATAACAAAAAGATAAATTTGAATAAAATTATTTAACTTTAAACAGTCAAATGAAAGTTAGTGATAAACAAAGGGATGGTTAAATAGACTAGTTTATAGGTCAGCATCTACATTTCTACATTTACTATCATAAACTATGTCAATTTGCTTTTTTACGAACTCAGATTTATGGGATTTCACCAAACCGATCATCGGGGATTGAGACAGCTACAGTTAGAGCCGTGTTACCGTTCGACCAATCAGCATGGGTCTGTGACCCGCCAAATATTAGTATGTCTGCAAAACTGGAACTTGGTCTCTCCTCGTGATTACAGTTGGATCTCTAAAACGAACAATGCTCGATTTATGAAACTCACATAGTTGCTTGGCTGGTTGTGCTAAATTAAGGTATATGTGTAGTAAATACGGAAGTCAATGTAGTTGGTGAAATCATTGCATTAAAATGGAAACTGCCATATTTGAACACACGCCCTGAACAAGTAAAAGAAATTCTGTATATTTTTAGGTAAAATCTGTTTTTTATAGAATCTTCAAAATGATGGTAAAACTGATAATAATTATAATATTGAATATATTTAGCAGTTTTAAACTAAGATTTCTATGAAAACATAGGGGACAGTTATTTTGCTAGCCAACCTTGCCATCAGGGATGATGATGAAGATGAGAAAGATGAGTCAGATCCTCAAGTATATAACATTCTAAAATATTATAAAAATTTCAGTTTAGTTATAAACTATTTCAATGAGTGACCAATAAAGGTTTGAAAATCTGTTTTTACATAAATCTGGGTTGATATTTCATGTTTCGGGCCACAAAAAATCAGGTTTAAATAATAAGTATTTTTTATTAATTCACTGGAATGCATAAATGAAAATTACTTATTTTAACTATTTATTTCTGCAACAACACCAAGTACCATGCAGCTTCAATTTTAATTTTTGTTCCACTTTTTTAATTTTACACCCATAGATATTTGTCAAAAAAAAACATAAAAGTGAAATTCTTATTGTGCACCTGGAGGAGTGAACACTGAAACTCCTTTCTGCAGCTGCTGTTGTTAGTGTGTTTCTGCTGCCCCCATGTGTCTACAACTTCACACATGCAGTTTCCTTTTAGGTTCTGACCTAAAAACCATTACACAAATTTTGCCAAAAAAATACAATATGCAGTTGTGTTTCCTTACATTTGTTCTGATTGCAGAGAGATCCTGCAGGAAATCCAGCGGCTGCGCCTCCAGCACGAGGAGGCTTCCCAACCGCCACCCGACAAGGGTCAGCAGAACCCCACCCTGCTCGCTGAGCTACGACATCTCAGGTAAATTATTTCATTACTCAGATGCGAAAAAAGCGAAAAATTCTGCAGAGGTTCCTCAAGCTGATGCAATCACACATTGAAGGAACAATACTGTGCAGATGTTGCTTTTTGATGCGACATCATGTTCTCATCGTAACGTGTTTCTTCCATTAGGCAACGCAAAGATGAGCTTGAACAAAGAATGTCTACTCTGCAGGAGAGTCGCAGGGAACTCATGGTGCAGCTGGAGCAGCTAATGATGCTTCTCAAGGTGCTACAGATGTGCCTTTCATCTCTGTGTGCAGCGTACTGTGGCCAAATATGGAACATGGTTTAGATTACTTGTGAAAACTAAAGAGTGTACATCCTTTTGGTGAGCATGTTGTTTTAATTAGTTTCAAGGGAAAAAAATCTGTTGTAGTTTGGCTTTTAGATAGCTAGTAAAACAAATACACTATGTTTGTAAATTATTTTGAAGCGAGGAGTAAGTTCAACAGGAGTTTAAATGTGAAATAATTAGGGAAATTCGATTTTATCAGCATATAAAATTAACGTCAGAAAATATCGGGATCAGTTTTCAGTCTTTTAATGACACAACTTTTACATACCATATGTAACGTTATGAAGTTCATAACATACACATATTATACATCAAACTCTTCAGCTACTTTTCATCTTTTTCAAAATGTCATTTTATAACAGATCTGAGGTCAATTTATGTAGTTTATTTGGCTCAGCTTGTGAAGTATAAATCTGCCTTGTGTAGAAACAGCACATTCTCACACCCGAAGCATCGATAAATGATGATGGGTGACCAAGCGTTTGTTTCCGATGCGTTGGGAGCCCCAGCGCATCGAGGCAACGTGCTGTGCCAGAGCGTTGTTTTCCAACTGCCACAGTACAACAGAGATTTCACCGAATTGTGACCTTTACCCTCTTGCTATTTAACCTTCCCCTCACCCCAATCCGAACCTTAACCCTCTTGTGCATGTAGAACTTTGATTCTAGTTGTAACGTCCCTCTCCAACACGGTAAACGGGAAGTTTAGAATGAGCAACTGGGTTAAGGTTAGGATGTCAGTGAGGGGATGTTAAATAGCCAGAGGTTAGAAGTTAAAGGTCAGTGAAATGTGCGTTTTACCACAGGCGTTGGAAACCAATGCTCTGGCCCAGCGCGTTGCCTCCCAGCGCATTTGAAACAAACACTTGGTCACCCATCGTCATTTTTCGACGCTTCGGGTGTGAGAATGTGTTGCAACACCCAAGGCTTAAATGTTTTGTCATGATAGCTGCAATATACAATCATCCATTTATTCTCTTCCGCTTATTCAGGGTCAGGTCGCGGGGCATCAGCCTAACCCCTGTTTCAAACTGCATCAGCGTTGCGAAACAGCAGCAAAACGGTTTGCTTGCGAACTTCAAAGTGGTCCTTTCCACTCCGGGAGAGTCTTGACCATGGCACGGCTTCCTTGCTGTGCTCTTCGCTGGACTCGTGAGATCACAAAATCCTTCTAGACTTCCACCATCCTCCTCACTTGACTCGCGAGGCCACAAGATCCCTGGAGACTTCAAAGATCACAGTGTGTTTATGCGATCTGCCGTTAAACCAAAAAGAAGGAAATCACGTTTGGTATTGCTGTTTGGTGTCATATATGGTGTTCCTCTCCACTGCCAGGATTAAAGCCATGAAAATCACACCGCTGCACTTCTGGAACAATACTGGGAGTAAATACCGTAAATCCTCTAATACAGGCCTGGGCCTGTATTTGACTCAAGCTCATCAAGCTCCAGGCCTTTATTGGAGGGAGGGCCAGAATTAGAGGCAGGCCTCAATTTCTATTTGAGCAAAATGAACTAATGGTTCGCTGGAGTTTTTGACAATTAAAATTGCGCCCACATTTTCAAAGTTAAACACTTTTCTTTTAACAACGGTAGTTTCTGCTTCAGCCCTCTGCCCCCTCCCCCAGCGCAGCGGCCGCAAACTCACTGATGCGCCTGCAGCCTCTCGGAGTTCCTGCTGCTCTAAACATAAAAAATAATTATTTCATTTTCTGTTCCTCACTTCTGATTACCTTCAATGGTGTCTGTTTGTTGCAACCACCAGGTACAAAAACTAACTTGTTTTTATTTGACTATTTTTCTGTCCTGTCTGTTTATTATCTTCCTGCATCTCCTCTCAATCCTAAAGACAAACAGCTACCTGGGTTCATATATATTCACCTCATGAGTTACCTTTGAACTGCAGTTCTAAAAGATCTACCGACCGCAAAAACAGCGGAGTGTTTGCCGGCCACATCAGTTCGGTGCGTCACCGAGGACAAAACAGGTGATGCGCCCCGCTCCACAGCAGCAAAAAGCATCAGGCACAAATGAAAGAATAAAAGACAGAAAACATAAAAGGAAATGAGCCGACATGAACGATCGCGTATTAAATTAGTTTTTGAGGTGGCGACACCTGATTTGATAATGTTACTGTGGCCGTGCTCAGGACGCAGATGTCTGGAGCGCGTCAACAATCAGAGCTTTGCATGTGCAAGCTGGTTAAGGCTAGGATGGGGGTGAAGGGAAGGTTAAATTGCAAGAGGGTAAATGTCACAATTTGGTTAAATGCCCGTTTTACGGTGGGTGTCAGTACCGACGCTCTGGCACAGCGCGTTGCCTCCCGACGCGCAGGAGCTTGTCACCTGCTGACAGCAGGCTGCTGTCTTTTCCGTGGACTGCATCTTGCCGGTCATTATCACGTGACAGCGACTAGTCGATGACAGGCATAAAAAGTCACTATAGAGCGGTGAAGTCGACTAGTGACTAGTTCATACAACCCCTGTTACTGCTCCCCAGAGTGTTCTGCAGCATAATCAGCACGTTCTCTTTGAACTTGATATCAAATTTTTGCCTCCTCTTCATCTCCGCACGGTTAAAGTTACCCTCGCGGTCTATCACTGGCAAATCAAAAGTGAGACGGATGACACAACCGCCCCCCGTACTTGCTTGTTACCACATTCCACCCGGCCACAATAAAAAACCGGCCATTATTCACCTCCGCCGACTCCGACACCGGCCAAAATATGATACCCGGCAGTTAATTAAATACAGGCTAATATTAGAGGATTTACGGTAAGTCACTGAGTCACAAAAAAGCTACATATATATGAAATTGCATCGCTATAGTACTTTTATTTAGAAAATTATCAGTTATTTTACATTGAAACCGCGTGTGATTTCCTGTCTAGCCCTATGTTAGCTGCAGAAATTGACGTGTCCCAGAAGCGGCTCATGACAAAAATAGAACCAGATCCTATCTTTAGTGGCGCAGCGTGCAGCTTCTGGAACATGCCTGAAAATTGTCGCATCGCGGCTGGTTTGACACCCTCCATAAACTATAATAGATTCTATCGAAGCAGTGATGTTACGCTGCCATTCCGCACTGCTTATGCTTTCAGTGTGGAACTGGGGTAAGCCAAGAGACCCAGACTTCCCTCTCCTCCAGGGAAATTCTAAGGCTTTCCCTGGCGAGCGGAGACACATAGTCCCTCCTCCGTGTCCTGGGTCTTACTTTAGGTCTCCTCCCGGTTGGGTGTGCCCAGAAAACCTCACCGAGGGGTGTCCAGAAGGCATCCTAACCAGATGCCCGAGCCACCTCAACTGGCTCCTCTCGATGTGGAGGAGCAGCGGATCTACTCCAAGCCCCTCTTGGGTATTTTCTGTAATATACAGTAAAAGAAAAAATTCACTACTTACTAATAAATACATCGTACTGTCACTCAGAGATTCAGCTGCTGTTTACACTTACCTGTTACTAACATAAACTGAAGTAGTTTTCATTTTGCATAGAAAATGTTTAAAGTGTAATTTTGCACAATAAGAGATATGTGATGTTAGTAACCTAACTTGATTTTTTTTAATGAGAGGAGATCACAGCAAATATCGGTATCTGTTTATATCAGTATCGGAAATTACGAGTCAGACAACTATCAAGCATCCCTAAAAAATGCACATCTAAGTAACTTAAACTTGCATTGCAAATTTTGACACCCTACAATGTTAAATTCCCACCAGCATTTATAAAAAGGTCAATTTTAGTGTGAAAATTTGTATTTTTGTCTTTATTCACATAAAAAAGAACATGAGCTTTTTTAGCCCCTAGTAAATAGCTGCCCATACTGGTTTAATCAATCTAATTAAGTCCAAAGGATCAATGTTAATTCATTAAACTTGCATGAGGGAGCCACATGCTGGCTATGATTGAATTTGCTTGAAAGATATGGCCGCTGATTTAAAAGCCGTATAATTTTGTTTTCCAGCTGAAGGAAAGAAAGGAAACGAGTTGTAAGAGTAAAAACAAACCTGATTTTAAATAAAAACAGCTTGTGTTATAGTTGGAATACCTTTCAAAAAGTAAAACTGACTCATCTGCATGTGGTTTTTCTTTATTAACCTTTTGTTTTTTCTTACAGACTCAGGGTCCCGGATCTCCACGCTCTTCTCCGAGCCACACCGTCAACCGACCGATCCCCACGCCGATCCACTCGGACTCTGCTGGCACCACTCCGACCCACACGCCTCAGGACTCGCTGATGGGAGTAGGAGGGGATGTTCAGGAGGCCTTCTCTCAGGGTAACACTAACATTTCTATGATCACATTTCAAGGCTGTTTTTTGTTTGACTTTTGTTTGTGTGTGTGTGTTTTTTTTTATTTATTTTTTTGAAGGTCCAAGGAGAAATTTAAGAAATGATCTTCTTATTGCTGCTGACTCCATCACCAACACAATGTCCTCACTAGTTAAAGAGCTCAATTCAGGTAAAAGAAGAGATGGAAACGTGTTTTATTTTTCTCAACATCAGCTTTTTAAAAATCTTCTTTTGTCTCCAGAAGGGGGCAGCGAGACCGAGAGCCTCTTGGATTCAGACTTTGGACGTTGTGATTTAATGGCTTCAACTTCTTCAGATCATTTCTTCACATATAAACCAAGGTATTCTACAGATATGTACTCTAGAAGGAGATATGTTATTCTGTAAAGTACAAGTTTATATAATATATCACATAATTAGAGCTTGTTGATTTGTTGCATTTGGCTTTATTTTTTATAAATCAGGCCTGTTAGCACTGCAGAGGAAGAAAGCTTTGAGAACAATCTGGAGCGGCAGCTTGAAGACGAGCTCAAGTTGGAAGAGTTAGTGAAGCACAGACAGGAAACCGACGAAACGTGCATGGTAAGTTTTGACTTTAAAGAGATACTTTGCAACTTTTTTATATTTTCAAATCATTTTCTAGAGCCAGTATGAGCTAAAATGACTCTTTACAAGGTTAATGAAAGACCACTCAGCCCCTATCTCCCCCTGTAGCCAGAATATCGCACTTGCAACTTCAGAGTTGCCGGTCCGGTTTGTTGGGACTGGCGTTGAAGTCTGGTTCCAGCATGTTTCCTGCATGTTTTTAATCATGAACACAGCAGTTTTTTTTTATTTAGCGATGAACTGCTGCTGTAGAAACTAAGGAAATCTGGGGAGACATTTCAGCTGTTAGATTAAGGTGTTAAAAAGAGGAACATACAGCGAGGGAATAAGTTTGCTTTCGGTTCTACAAACAGACACTAGGAGGTGCTAAAAGCAAGCCAAAACTGCCTAATCTCCTTTTAAAGCAGCAGTGTTCAATTCTGGACCTGGAGGGCCAATTTCCAGCAGTCTTAACTCAGGCTAACAGGTTAACAGGCTTCTGCGGTCTGATGAGCTGCTGCACAGGGGGATCAACCACTGAATCAAGTGTGTGGAGCAGAGAAACCACTAAAACGTGCTGTATACAGGCCCTCCAGGCCCGGAATTACATGCCCTGTATTTAAAGGACCCAAATTCTGCTTTCTGAACATGGAACATGAATCTGGAATTTTCTGCCTTTCAGGAAATATGCATGATTTTTAGAACTGATAGCCTTACCCTGCATTATGATATAATGTAGGCAATAGGTGACTTGTTTTTTCAAAGCCTGTCACACGTCCCATAGAGCACCATGCAATTTGAATTGAGCATGTTCAGGGACAAGAGGCCCTGCCTCATCCATAATCATGAGTCATGGAAGTAGGGAGAGAGGCTTCAGGTGCAATGCATATTTCCACCTGTAGATGGTGCCACCTGAAAAAACTGCTTTCTCATTTCCGCTTTAAATAACTTCTTGCTTTTCTAACCTCTTGTATGTGTGTTTTGTTTTTAATTTAACACAGCTGACGCTGCAACAGTGACTGTGGTAGCTAAGGGATTGGTAAGTTTAGCTGCTGTTAGAAGTTTACCAGAATAAAAGCTGAAATGTCAGTAGCAGTGCAGCCGTTATTCACGAAAATCCATGTATAGTCTTTTCTTTAGCTACTTAAGACACAAATTGTACTGTGTTAAAAAAATTAGAAACATGTTTTTGTGGTATACTGTGCAGAAATGAAACCATAGTTTCACAGCCCAAGCTCAGAATTTGTTCTGAAGTCTGGACCCTCTGTATTTTTTATCCAATTTGACCCTTTTATAAAACAAAGGAAGAGCATTCTTTGCTTCCTTTTCAACATGCAAACCTGCTTAAAATATTTGTATATTTAATAAAGATACATCATTATAATTATTGCTGTTGTTGTTATTAATAATAACATCAATAATAATAATAATAATAATAATTAATAATAATTGGATAATAAAACGATAATAATAATAATAATAATATGTTAAAATAATAATAATGATATGTTTTACATATATTTGATGTGCTTTCATGTTGGTAATTTCTACACAGAAAGACAGCAGGTTTTGTTTATTTCTCAGGTAATTTCTGATGATTAAAGGTGTAAAACAAAATTATTATTATCTTTTATTTCTTATAAATGCTAGAAGTTTTTTTTTGTTAAAATCAGTTCGATTATCATAAAAGTTTCCATGATGCTCTTTAATAGAATTACAAATTCTGAGAAAACGTCATGCAGATTAGAACATTCTTAAATATATATGTTTCTGAACCAAAACAAAAACTAATCCAAATTATTTACAAAGTATGTTAACATGTGAAAACTTATTTTTAGGAATCTGCAAAATCCTGGTGTTGTACTCATGTGCATTTTGTATTTATATTGACACAGTAACTCCTAATATTTGTAATCTTTTTCCCCCCCTTAGGTGAGCAATGCAGCAATAGTTGAAGACACTGAAAGAATTACCACTGGACTGACCAAACAGCGCTGACGATATGGAGAATTTAGGTTTAGCTAAATCCAACCATAAAATATGATTATGTAAAGATATAGTTTTTTAACCAAGCACATATTTAAGGTAAAACTGTGAGCTGGTGTAAAGAGATTAATTACTGAGCTGTCTATTATACCACAGGTGCCATAAAACACATGATTTGGGAGAAATGTTTCTTAATTTTTAATCTTTTTTTACATGCGTTGTCTGTCAGCTGTAGTAGGTTCGCTGTAAATGCAGGGTGACCAACTTGTTCCTTTCTCTTGTTTTGAACAACATGCTTAAATGTTGAGTTTCACCCGATTCATGGTGACACACCTGATTTTATGTGCAGTTATGAAATAATATATCCTAAATGTGTTTTTATTTGATCTATTATTCTGGCCAATGTGCATGAACAAAATGAACATTTTTCCACGTTTCTACTGTTGCTTCTAAATAGTGTTCTTTCATTTGGAAAAATAGTACTTCTGTGTGTTTGTTTCATTTTGTAAATTAGGAATAATATTGCACACTGCCTTAGCTGACTGGATGATCTGTCACAGCAGTTCATTTTAGCAGCATGTAGCCTACAACAAAACACACCTGGAGGTTTTTATTGAAGTTAAGCCCATAAACGCCAGCTTCACCCGCACAGTTAGCATTTGCTTACAAATTATATATAATGTTGATCAAAAAAATCACAGAAAAATCAATTTATGCTTTTTCTTATTAGCATTCAACACAACCTGCTGTTAAAAGAAAGATAATTTTGCTTTACTCTTATGTGTAGCACTTCAAACTTGACACAAGTACATTCAGTTGATCCAGGGAAAATGGTTTACGCTTCATTTCTGATCCTCTTTGACCCCTAAATTTTCAAAATGCCTCCGTGTCCACTTGTGGGAGATTTAGGGTCTTATTCTGGGTATTATTTGAGTTTTAGAAAGATCATGCCTGCATGAGAACAGCTTTTTAATGGCTGCTTATCACAACAAACGTCTGAAAAATTGAAAGAAATATCAACAGAACTTTGTCGAGCATCTTCGATATGTCGTTTTAGTCAAAATGTATTATTGTATTGGGGAAAGATTTTGAAAATGATAGTTCTAGCAGGCAGAATCATTAGAAAATGTACATTTAAATGAGAAATGATGGATTACTGCCATAAGTTCAGTTAACATAAATTCTCCCACACAAACCTTTGTTTAATTTGCACACCAACACATACACGTTCTTCATGCTTTATATATGTGTGTGTATACATTTTTGCCCAGTTATTTTAAAAAAAAGTGGCAAGCCAATCTTAAACCATAAGAGTGTGAAAATTTTCTAGTTTGATTTTTGCCCTATTTTGAGCAAGTTCATAGCAGTGACTTTGCATGGTGGTAATGCATAATAAAGTGTTGACACAATATGACACTTTTTGCCAATGAACTTCTTTCTCCTTCTTTTTCCATTCCAAAATGGCACACTTCAATTGGTTCAGTTCGGCTCTGCACATTTATTATCTGTCATAAACGCACTGCAGACTACCCTCAACCTATTGTCTATAATTCATCACAGTGAGGCACTATCTGAAGTAACATCAATGCAGCCATGCAGCACTGAGTCTCATAGTCATGTGCATACTGAAGAGACTTTTCCTTCTAATTTATGCCGTAATAATAACACCAATTAACATTTTTTTCTTTAGCTTTATTGATTTATTCAAAGGTACCTCTTAATACACACAGTCAATGAAACAGCTTAAAAAATCCCAACAGCACAGTCATAATTAAACAGCGTGTGCAAAAGGACTTCATGGTTTTATTATTGTGTTCTATTGTACTTTACAATATTTGTTTATCAGAATATGCTCATTGTGCTGTGTAATTTACAAGAGTTGTTCATTTGTTATCAAGTGCATGACTGCTACCTGCTGTCAAAACAGAAGGACTGCAGTTGGCCTTTAAAATTTAAACAGGATTTTTGCAATTATTTGCCTTATAACTGTAGTATAATAAAGATGTAATTCAAATGTAATAAAAATAAATTATATGAAATAAAAAAAATGAAAAAATCAATAAAAGCAAGCTATTTAATCTCTAAAATTGATTTCTGGCTTTTAAAATAAAAAGTTCTTCTCATATTATCAAAGTGTTAGTCATTTATTTTCAAATATATTTTCTTACAAGATAATTCAGTTATTTACATCATACAATGATGTATTCGTTTGGAAAAGGAGTAGGCAGATGTATAACCTTACACATCACTTATTTATTACTTAAGAAAAGTTGCTTTTCACTTTACCAAAGCAAAAACATTCCAAAACAGAGCAAACAAAACACCGTAATTTACAACAGGACTTCTATAACCTTCACTAAAAGAAACTTTTTTTTTCAGTTCACAATATTCAAAACAAAACGCATGCAGAATCTGCAAAACACTGTATTTTCTTCTACTTAAAATACTTATTAAAAAATTATTCACAAAAGCAACAATAATAATAATAATAATAATAATAATAATAAATAGGATTAAACATAACAAACAAAATGCAAGCAGAAAAACACAAATCACAAAAATAGATAAATTAGACCACCCTTATTATCAACTGAAATATATTAAATTTGTAGTAAATTTATTTTAGCTGTTTGATGGTAATTTAATATTTCAGCTAGCAATTCCTGTTTTTTTATCGTAAATGTAGAACATGTTTATAAATGATATTTGCCAACGTTATTATTTGTTTTATTTACTTGGTCTTCTTTTATGTGATAGTGGCCTAAATATATTTTTTATGTATTAATAGTAAAAGTAAGGACTTTAAATGTGTTTAGAAGTGAAAGTGCTGTGACAAGGTGGCAAACCAGCAAGGTCTCTTGTTGTGAATGATCGACGCATCGAGACGCGATTGGTCACTTTCACAACACATGTCAAAACCAAACCAATCAGCTTCCACGATGTTGAGACGCTGACCAATCGGCTGTACGCTTGCAGTTCGCTCTCTAAAGGAGCATTTGAGGGTGTGGGGGTGACTCAGCGCAGCCCGGAAACATCCCTTTTTTATCATCTTGTAACCAGCGGGTTGGAGTTCACTGGTGAGTAAGATTTCCCTTGCTGATTAATTTAAATCTTTAACGTGATTTGAAACGTTTAGTATGATAAATTAAAGAAGAAACCAAAAGATGGCTACACGTTTGTAGCGACGTACGACGGCACATGTTGACTGTTGCTGTTTGATGATGCGAGCATGAATATTAGCTAGTGTAACTTGGCGGTTAGCTGGACAAAATGTACCTATGTCTCTTTAATCAGCGTATGCTGGACGAGAAACTCGCCCTCTTCAATGATAGGAAGGCTAGTAACTTTGTTCTCAATCACTGTAGCTCACATTTCTGCCAGGAGTTAGCTTCATTTACGAGACTCCCTTCAACTAGCTGCCCTGTGACCAGTGACACATTAGCTTGTTTTAAATAACAGATGTTTCAGCAACTAAAGCTGAGTGAACAGCTTCTTCAGGAATCCCTCATTTATTTTGTTTACAACAAACTTTGTTGTTCTAATCTAAGGTGTTTTAGAGCTAAATTTCCCCAGGTTTTATGGGTTTTCGTTTTATTAAAACGTCTACAGTTTTTGCACTTATTCTACTGTAGTATATATTACCAATTACTTTGTTTAAGTCTATGTATTTTGATCAAAACACTAACATATCCAGGCTTACAGAAGGCTTCAGGAGACAAACTAGTGTTGTCCACACAGCTGGCCACTAAAGCACTTAGTTACTGGGAGCCTCTCACAAACGTAAATATGTATTTAACTGAATTTTCTTTTTTTTTGGGGGGGGGGGGGGGGGGGGGAAACTCTACGATCAATGAATGTCCGTATCTTAGCACTGATACTGGGAATTCCTTGAGAGGATGACATATCTTCAGTTCTCAACTTTCCTAATTCGAGTACAATACAAGGACTTGGCTGAAAATGTATGTATAAAGCAGCCAAATCCAGAAGAAACTAACTCAAGAAAGCCTGAATGAAAATGTCTGACTCCTTGGACACAAAACCAAAAGAAATCTGGTGGTTTGGGTATAAAACTGGACTTCAAAAGAGCAATTGCCTTGAGATGCTGAATCTAAGAATCTTAACAGATTTTTAATGTTCTGAGTCAAGCTGCCACTGTTCATGTAAAAGGGATGGGGAAACTGATGAAATAGGAAATTAGCTTAGGCTCTGCAGGCCAACATACTATCTTAATGCTTACAGTAAAGTATCATCCTCCAAGCAGAAACAATATGTTATCTGTTATTATTTAAATTGACAGCATGCTGCATTAACAGAAATCCTGAGTGCGGCTTTCAGCTTGGTGTGCTGGACAGCCGTGCACTGAGAGGCAGGATTTATTGACAAGAAGCTGCATATAGACGTGCAGCATTCATGTAGCATTGGTATAGTGAAAGTTCATTGTTTATTTGTGGTTATAAATGATGATTTTGTGCATTTTTAGCCTATATGGTTGTTGTTTCCCTCACATGAGAATAAGATCAATGTTGATTAAACCATTAGCACAGGTGGGAGCATGAGTTGAAGGAAATGATCTATAAATAATCTTCTGTCGATGTGGATTCTATACCTCAGTATTGACTCTTCAGGCATCGGGATCTTGAGGTGTAAGGCTCATTCAGATGAGAGCTGCAGTGACATAGTTTATCCACATGTTACTAAGAGTTTCTCATTTTCCTGGTGTGTGTGAAATTTGACCACGTTCCACTGCTTGTGTTATTATTTCAATGACGTGTTTGATTGAATAGCTCTTTGTCACGATTAATGTTTTAATTCTCGATAAAATAATTTCTGGAATTTTTCTGTGTCTTTACTTGGCTAAGCTTTTGGTAATGCTTCAGATTTTACTTTGCAGGGATGTATAAAAAAGCACTTTATCAATAAAAACTCATATGTTTTTTTTTACTCAAACACCAAGTATTAAATTATATTAAACATTGAGAAATCAAATTAAAGCATCATCATTTGGAAAGCAAAACCCAGAATAGACACAATAATCATTTGTCAGATTTGTATTAATGTTACTCTATATTAGTTTTGGTTTATTGATGTTTGCACATTTAAGATTTTATCTTGGGTTGTAACAGGTTGTAACCGTAACTAACTCTGACCTGAAGGGGGCGATAGAGTTTTAGCCATGTGAGTTTTTGTTGCTGCTGAAGAGTTGTTTCACCACTGTAAGAAAATACAGTGGAACAGCTTCAGTTAGGCAGTTTTGATCTCAAATTATTTAGTCTGTGTCTTGAAGAACTAATTGCTTTTTAATTGATTGTTAAACAGAAAATATGATGTCACTGCCTTATTTAACCACGTCCCTTCATCAAATCTGTATCTGCATCTGTTTTATTTATTTATTTATTTTTACAGGTAGACATGAAAACATGTTAATTAGGTCAATAAATAACAGTTGCAAATCGCTTGTCAGCTGAAAGTACAAAGTATTGATTTTGGGATACTTGCATAACAATTGGAGTCTGAGCTGCAGCTATAACTGCTGCAAAAGCACTTTTAAAGTGTCAAAATAAAATAAAATGTGCAAATGTTTTCATTTGTATTCATGATTTATATTTAGGCTAAATTGATCATTAAGTTGTGCATAAATCTGTTTCTCTAATTTACACCACCAACGAAAAGTGTTAGTTTCTATCATAGTAATATAATAGTTGTTACATAAATATTTGGCATGTTTGAGCTGTGTATTTTAATTACGGACATTAAATTTGCTTGATTGAATCATTTATTCAGAGCAGACATGAAGAATGATTTTATTGCCACCTACTTGAGATAATCTGGGTCATCGGGAGATTAGTGCTGATTTTACATCTTTGCCACTTGAAGGAGAGATTGGCTTCGTTTTCCTTCCTAACTAATTTGTATTTTTTTTGTTACGTTTGCACTTAAAGACCGAAACATGTCTTATTTTAGAAATATTTCAAAAGCCAGATGTCTGTTTTATTTATTTTCAACACAAATGAGCCTCCTTAAGGAACAGGCAGCCAACCCCAATAGTCACGTGGTACAGGTTGGAACAACGTCACCAGGGATAAGCGGACAGAAGCAGAGAGCCTCCCGACTCGAGCTGCGGCACTTTTGTTGTGGCATTTGTCTCGTTCCTGCTCTTCTTTTTGTTTCCCCATCCGACCAGAGATAGAACAGAGTATCTGTTCGACATTTAGAGACCCAAATGCCCGGTCCCACCCAAGCCCTTTCCCCAAATGGAGAAAATAACAACGACATCGTCCCGGACAACGGAACCAACATCATTCCTTACAGGAAAAATACAGTGCGAGGAGAGCGCGCCTACAGGTAAACCGGTGTAACGCCGCATTAGCTACCACGTTAGAGCAATAGTAGTAATAAGGACACCGCTAGCAACCCATGTTCTGGCCTTTCTCCTAGGCTGCTTTTCATTTGCAGCCGTCCGCTTTTCCCTCATTGCTGCATTCCCAATGTTACGTCCTGTTAGCTGAAACTGTGGCGCACTTCTCTATCAAATCACCCATTTTAACTGCAGGAAACCCTTTAAGATGACCACTGGAGGCCATAGATGGTTAGGTGTTGTGGTCTGGGAGGGTACAGGTAGATTTTAGGGGGTTGGGTCAAATGACGGACACAACCAACCAGCCACCGCTACTGCTGCTACAGCATTCGTCCCAAATCCATCCGCTGAAGACCAAACAGCCTATTGTGTCCTGATTAAATAGTGTTTGGTGGGTTTTATTGGAGCGTGAAACACAAACAGCAGCAGCAGAATTAACTCTTCTCCATGGGAGGATTCTGGCATCAGCCCAGCCCTGCCATGCTAACAAAGCATGCTAACAGCGGCGCATACATCCGCTTTGTTGACATGAGATGGGCTAGCCCAGTTTCCTTCCTTCCTTCATCCACAATTTCAGCTCTTCTGCAGCGCACCTCATCACTATCTGCTCATTCTCGTGCATGGAATTTATTTTAATGCAGTCACGCCATTATTAGTGCAGCTTGTTCTGACCGTGCCTGAAATGGTTTGTGTGCATGGAGATGAGAGATTAAAATACGTGAAATGGTTTGTTCTTTTTTATTTATGTTGTGTTTTTTGCTGTTTAAAAATAGCAGAAAAATAATGACTGGAAACGTGTAAGAAACTGAAAATATACATGTGATAGCTGCTTTTACTGGCACAAGTTAGAACTGCTTAATCTGAGCTAAGAAAGTTTTATGATAGGCTCTTGCAAGAATCCCCAAGACTATTCTGGATTGTATTATTATTTAGATTTTTTTACTTTTTCAAATATACTTTATTACACAATAAAATACCCACATCTCTTTTTTCTTGGGTGAAGTGGTGGACTAAGAAATATTGATTGGCTCTTATGTGGACAGTTTGTGTAATGGCCTAATCTGTAGATTAAGGATCAAAGTTTGCATATAATTGTTGGTGCCTTGGTATGTATGTTTATTTGTAGCCCCGATGCTAGTGTTATGTAACCCGATAAGCTTCCTTTTTCTTTAATGATGGAGCAACTATTTCTATTTAGGAAAAATCTGATATTTTCAGATACTGATTACAAAAATGTATGCATCAATATCTCTTTCTGAGATTAAATTTTTTTAAAGAAAATCCTAAAGATAGATTGATAAATTAATGATTTTCCTGCAAAACACTTCTTATAAAATAATCTGCGAGTTGTGACATGGATTTTTAAAATTACTAGTGTGTGTGTGTGTGTGTGTGTGTGTGTGTGTGTGGGGGGGGGGGGGGGTCACAATCACTTTATGCAAGCTGAGGCATTTTGAAAGTATTTTGACCTGATAATGTTGTGCATGAGGTGGCCTGGACTGGTATTGTGTTGCAACAAAGAGGGTTGTGTGTGTGTGTGTGTGTGTGTGTGTGTGTGTGTGTGTGTGTGTGTGTGTGTGTGTGTGTGTGTGTGTGTGTGTGTGTGTGTGTGTGTGTGATAAAAATACCCAATATTATGATGTAATCTGCATTTGTTTGGTTTCTTTCACTGTTTCAGGTAATAATCATTTCTTTAACTGATTTTTTTTTAGATATGAGAAAATAAGATTGTTATTTTTTTTTTACTTCATGAGGGACAGAACGATGTTTTTGTTTTTCAGTTGGGGGATGGCGGTCAACGTGTATTCTACCTCAATAACCCAGGAGACTATGAGCAGGCATGACATCACTGCCTGGGTTAACGACATTCTCTGCCTAAACTACACGAAAGTGGAGCAGCTCTCCTCAGGTGAGAGCAGATTAAAAACAACGCCTTTAGTTCAGTCTTTTTTGTTTTTTTAGGTATTTTTATTCCGTACACGCAAGTGTCAGTGGCTTTTCCAGGAGAAAAAATATTTTTAGAGATGTTTTACACTTAAAATCATCATTTAAGTGTGAACTAAGTTGAAGTCACTTGTGAGGAAACTGATTCCCTTCTCCTTAGCAGAGTTTTCTAAAAATAAATCCTGTAGTCTGCAGTAAGTAATCCAATTTCAGTCAGTTGCAGCCTCACAAACACTTGTGCACAGCCCCACTTTATTAAAGGTGTAAACTAATTGTTTGACCACATCTTATTTGCACGTTACGTCTTACACGGAGCACGCGTCCTCTTTAAAATGACATGCCTATATGAAAAATGTCATTCAGGGAATATTTAAGGAAACACAACAAGCTAAATGTGAAGAAAAATAACAGTTATTATTTTAGAGAACATTTATACCTCGGTAATAAATAAAGTTGGGCTCTGTTCCCCAATGTGCCTGTTTTACTGTATACACATGTTTATTTAAACAGCAAATTATTACTTTCTTGTAAAACTGTATTTTATGCACATATTGTTACTGTAAAGTCTTTTGTTAAGTGTATATATATATATATTCATGGATATGCATACTTGCATTTACTTTGAACTGCTGCTGTCACACCTGAATCCCTCACATCTTCCACAGAACAATAAAGGATATATATTCTGTTTTGTTATTTGTACAGGAGCTGCTTATTGCCAGTTCATGGACCTGCTCTTCCCTGGCTGCATCAGCCTTAAAAAGGTCAAGTTTCAAGCTAAACTGGAGCACGAGTATATTCACAATTTCAAACTCTTGCAGGCATCCTTCAAGAGAATGAATGTGGACAAGGTGGGTTTCTAAAACGTTACTTTACTCCAAATAATTGCATGCTGTTGTGGGCTAAATGTTTTTTATATATATAATTTTTTCAGATTATTCCTGTGGAGAAGCTGGTAAAAGGCAGATTTCAGGACAATCTTGATTTCATCCAGTGGTTTAAAAAATTCTTTGATGCCAATTATGACGGTAAAGAGTATGACCCAGTTGCTGCCAGGCAGGGTCAGGATGCAATCCCCCCACCTGATCCAGGCGAGCAAATCTTCAATCTGCCAAAGAAGTCTCACCATGCAGCCAGCTCCCCTACGGCGGGTAAGCATCCACTGCAACAGTATTTAAATGAATATAAATGCAACTAGAATTCTGAACACAGGTTTTTTTCATGTGCTGCAGGAGCATCCCGATCAAGCGCTACGACCCCCAAATCAGCAACACCGACGTCTAGACCTTCGTCCGCTAAAAAGATCCCTGTAGCTTCAACGCCTCCTGCTAAAGGAGAGAAAGACCTGGAATCTCAGGTCACACATCTTACAGAGCAGGTAGAATCAACAAAGCCGGTTTCTTTTGTAGTGAACGTACTAATGTGGGTCTGTTTACATCAACTTACCCCATTATATTAAACTAGCCCTCATTTTGAGTGCTAAGCAGTCATTAAACTGTGATCAGATCCAGGGTCACAGATGCTCATCCACAAAATGCACAACATGCTCTTTGTTGTTGGCAAGATGCCAGCATAGTTGACCCAACCTTAGAGCAGGACAGGGGTAGGGGGCGTGGCCTGTTTGATCAGTCAGGCTGCATTACAGTGGCCCAACACATCAAGGTCAAAACAAACACAACTCCAGCTTGAGTCTGCTTTTATAAGGAGACCTGCTAGCTTGCTGATACGATAAAGAGCGGTTTCAAAACAAAGGATTGATTTATAGATTTCCTGCTCAGGTTCTTTAATCTCTAAATTCGATACAAAGCATTTTATTGATTTTGAACTGATTCTCTTTATTCTTCTGTTTCTCAGCTTTCTACTGTTTTACCTGGTTAGTTTTATTTAATGCTCCAAGCACTGTTTTTTATTAATTTATTTCCCAGGTGAACACATTAAAATTGGCACTTGAAGGAGTCGAGAAGGAGCGAGACTACTACTTCAGCAAGCTGCGAGAAGTGGAGCTGCTGTGTCAGGAGCAGAGCGAAGAAAACGCCCCATTTGTCGATCGGCTCATGGAGGTGCTTTATGCCTCAGATGAACAGGTCAGCTGATGAGTCATCTAAACGCTGTTTTGGGCAGATCTGCAGCGATGTTTGTGGTGGAAGAATTTCATTAACGTGTGGTTAATTACTAGCCTAGTGAACTAGACCAAATTCTTGCTTTGCAAAGAATGGTCTAGGCATGCTCCATTGGAACCTCCGCAGCTCCTACCAGGACTTTGGCTAGCCAATCACAGCTCTCTATAGAGGGGTTTCAAACACATAAAGAGCTGTGATTGGTCCATAATGGTGGGCCAGTCATAGTGCTCTATCTGCTTAGTGAACAAATCACAGAGCTTTATCCGCTTTGTGGGCCAATCAGGGCACTCTATATGCCTGGTGGGTGGGATGATGCAACAGAGTGAAACAAGAGTATGTCACATTCATTGTCCAGTGGAATGCGGAGATCATTTGAAAGACAACGGTAGAACTCGCCCCACAACCGAGAGCCGTCAATGGAGCGTGGCCAGACTAAATAATACATTTATTTAGTCTGGCTTGCCAGGCTAGTTAATTACATGAGTTTGCCTCAAACTATAATCCGTGTCGGCTTTTCCTTTTAGGATCGAGCAGAACTGGCTGAGGGTGACGGACAGGAAGTGGACCAGCAAGCCCATGAGGGGGCACCACATGACCAGCAGGAGGAACAGGATGAATACTGATTGCCATCATCAGTCACCATGGTTACACCCCTCTTTTTAAGATGTGAGAACTGTCAAGGACTTTATTTACTCCTCGTGTTCTTATTTTTATTTTGTTCTCTCCAAGACTGAGCACAACAAGCAACCACCTGGATAGGCGTACCATCACAGGGTTTTACTTTTTGTATCTCTTTGCTCACTGTTCAATGTTTTTGTGACTTTTGGTGAGCTGCTGTGGCGGGTTAGTGTAAACAACCTCCACTAGCAGACAAGCGCAGACCATCACAGACGTTTCCGAGGATCGCGTGCGTGGAAAAGTCCACTCAAATTCTACAGTAGTTGTGATAAAATGCTGACGTTTAGATGGGTAACTGTTACCTGTCGGTGTAAGTGTTAAACTCTTAAGCTTTTGTCCTTTTAATTATTTTATTATTATTATTTTGTTGTCATTTTTCATATCAACATTAATCACAGGAATGCAATAAGCAAGGCCATGGAATGGCTCACAGTAGCTCTTATTTAACCTTCCATACGTTGCACTGGCATTGACTCTGTATTGGGCAATCTGTCCATAAGTCTTCACCGTATTTATTATTATTATTAAGCCTTAGAAGTAGTGCAAAAATCTGCTTTGCATTCTCATGAAGGAGGTCAATCCAGTCAGATTTGAGTAAAAATGTAGTAAAAGGCCATTTTGGGGCTGTCTGACAGCTCTTCTCACAAATACAAGATTTCAGATCATCAGTGTGTTCATTTAGACTGAACTAGTCTTAAAATGTTGCTGCGTGTTTAGATTTCCACCTTCAGCTGAAATTTTCAGTTTTAGAGTTTTGACATTTTTCATAGGTTTTTTAAACCACAGGTCTTAGGGGCTTGAGTCGGTTCACTGCGCAGTCTCACTATATTCCAGTAATTGCATTGTAAACCCATTCTTAATATAGCATTAACTAATATTGAGCTGACCGGTGCACCACAATGTTTTAGTTATATATTATTGTGTAAATGAAATAAAGAATGTAAACATGTACTGTCAATAATAATAATAATAATAATGAATGGTAAATGTATTTTTTTTTGTGTCCCACTCATTATGCATTCCCCAAAAATGTGTTGCATGGTTGCATTTTGGTTGTGAATAACTTGACCTGCTTTTTACATATTTAATAAAAAAAACAGACATGTTACATGTACGTTTGTATGTTTAATTTGTCATTTAAAATGCTACAGATCAATTTGCTGTTAATTTTTTTTTATTTCGACTCCACAGGAGAATTACCATTTTATAGTAAACTGACTAATGGCGGGCATCACTTATTACTGAAATAACTAGTTTATTCTTAATAATAGTTGATCTGTGGAATATTTCAATAAACAATTTAGGAGGAAATGATGGTTGTGCAACAGTCAATACCGCCCGCCTCCGGACTACGCTGGCAATTAATGAAACACCCTATTTTTCAACTTAGCCACGCAAGTTAACTTCCTCTTGTTAGCTCTCTACCTGCCTTGTAGATCAGTAGGGCATAAAGCACTGCTAGCTTTTCAGAAATGTGATAAATCTTTAGCGTTTAGCTTATAGGATTCCTCAAACAACAACAGCTACCACTAGTTTGATATTTTTGCCCGCATGTCATCGCGAAAGGTAAGAAAGTTGCTAACTAGCATGCTGAATTATGCTAAAATATTGTAGCTAGTGCTTTTGCAACACCGGTGTTGTGACTCCTCCCGTCCACAGAGTGGAGCTTACCCACCAGTTATGGACGACCACATTTTGATAAATTTTTATTGAGTATATTCTAAGTGTATTTGAGATTTTAATGTAACGTTTAATTAAAGTGTTTATGTAGCTTTTGAATCTAACTTTATTATTCAACAAATCCTCAGCGTAAACGGTCCTCCAAGGCCACATGGTGCCCCTCGTCTCCTAATCCACAGAGAGTTGAGAGAGAGACGTCCTTACTTTCATCTGCCCGGAGTTGGGCCAAGTGTGGAGACAGTTTTCTGGAGACTCCGGCTATAAAGGTAGACCTTGTCACATACAAGCATCACGCCGCCCACCTGTTTGCAATATTAACGCAAATTCTCACCTTTCTATATTAATTTTGGCTTTTGTTGCAGAATCTTTACCCATCAAAAAGAAAACTGTCAGTCGCAAGAAAGCTGTCTCAGTCTCCTGCTTTAGGTATTTAGAACATAGTTGATTTTTGGGGATCATTAATGTTTGTTGTGGTTTTCTAATTTTTTTTTTCAGGACTGGCCTGTAATAATGTGATTATTTCTTTGAGCAATAACTTGTGGTTTCCCCCTCATGATGTAAAGAAAACAAGACTTTTGAAGCAACTAAAGTTAGCCCTCTCATTAGGTGGATAAGTAATTGAACCCTCTGGAGGCAGGCGTTAAAACCTACCTACCTGGTTACTCCACATACGTATTTCATGAGCATTTTTTTTACTCAGAAGTACCCCTGAAGGACTTAGTTGTTCGTCCTTTTATCAAAACTTATTTTGAGCCTGAGCGGGTTATCTCTGCCGTGTTACAATTTTTTGTCTTCTGTTTTCTTTTCTCAGTGCAGATCAGTGATTCTCAACTCTCTGAGGATCCAGTACAAATCGCATGGAGTTCCAGTGACTCTGAACCCTCTGACAATGAAAATCAAGCTCATCATCAGTCCAAAACAACTTCACAGCAGCAGCAGTTTCGAAAACTAGGGAGACCCTCAGCTCCTGTCCAGTCATGCAAAGGTAAAAGATTAAGCCCCTTTTCACCTGAGTTAACAGTTAACATATTTGCATCCATAGTTTGATTTTTCATATTTTGGCAAACCATCATTGTTCTTTTATAGTATATTAGAAAACAAAGACATTTTAATAACTGAGCGAGACTTAAACAGGTTTAAAAAGTGTTATAAAATACCTCATTTTTGGCTGTGTTGTCGTCCTTTAATTAAAAATAGCTTTTTAATGTGCAATGCCAACAGCGTTGAACTGATCTCATTTACATTCATTTTGTTTCTAGATTTTCCGTTTTGCTTGTTTAATGAACATTTGCTGCTTGATAAAAGCAAAAACGTGTTGATGAAACATGCTCACTCTCTGTCTTTAGATGATCTTCCTGTTATAGACACAGACAGTGATCAGGATTTGTCTGAGGAGGATGTTGAAAACGACAGCGGGCAACAAATCTCAGACTGTGAGTCAAACTCTGCTGATGAGAAACTACAGGACCTTCCTGTTAAACCTACAACTGTGAGTGAACTCTGAATATTCATGTTATTCTCGTTAAAACCTACAAAAGACAATATAGGCTGATGGGTGCAATAGTATTTACAATTGCAGTTTTTATTATAGGACACTAGGTGGCGCAAGACATCAAGCAATGGCATGATCCACAAAACAAAATACATCTGTTATCAGTAAATGACACCACAAGGTGGTGTTTTTCTCCCATCGTGCTTTGAAAACTTGACAGAGCCTAAAGTCTTGTATCTAGCACTTTCTAGAATCAGGTTATGTTGTTTCAAAGTTCACGGGCTCAGGGAGCTATAAACCCTAGCTCAAGGGGAAGGGACGCCTGAGCCATCTAAAGCAGATGTTAATATATTTCTCTACATGCAAGACATGGTGGCATAATTGGTTGCATTGTTGCAGCAGTAAGGTTGCAGGTTTGAATCCCATCTGCAGTCGTTCTGTGCAAAGCATGCATGTTCTTCCCATGCATCAGTTTGATGATCCAGCTTCCTCCCACTGATCAAACTGTGCATGTTCAGGTGAGATGGAGATTTGAATTACCGTCCATGTGTGAATGGTTTTGTCTCTGTCCCCCCCACTCTCGCTCAGTGACTGCTGGAAGGCACCAGCTCCCCACGAACCTTGTGTAGATGTAGCGGTTCAGAAAATGAATCAAAATCAAGTTCTGAAAGACAGTTGGGGTGACAGTGTTTAGAGAAATCAAAACAGATACAGAAGCTTTTTCTGGGGAAATTATAGAGCTTATTTAAAATGACATTTGAGGATTTGACTCCTTTCATCCCGTTTAAATTTAATTTAAAGCAGTGCTGTTTATAATGATTAATTAGACTATAAACAGTTGTAAGAAAGAAAGAAATCAATCTTTTATATATTGATGAGGTGATAAATATGTTTATATATATTTACATTCATATAAAGTGATAAAATGCTGTGTTTTTTGGTGAATGAACATCTCTTGCTAGGTTATTATTGTTTAAAATTGTACCTTTTTTGCACTTCTTTGCATTCAAATACACTTTTTCCTTCTCATAAGTCATTCACAAGCAGTGTTTGGTTAAGGTATGGCTGGCATGCACAGAATGCACAGGGAGTGGTGATTGTGCCCAGATCCACGCCAGTCTAACTTTTATGTGACATATTTACATAAACAATCAAATTATTGACCTTTTGGTTTGATTGCACTGTTAATGATTGTGATATTAAAGAATGCTATTAGCTAATAAGTTATGAGGATGCACGCTGAGAGGAAGCCTTTTGACAGATTACCATCACATTAATAACCCACAGACCATAGCTACTTCCTTTTGTCACATTTTGGATTTGCTGCTGTCAGCTTTCTGGGGTCAAGCGCGACTTGAAATCGCTTGTGGTCAAACGACTTAAAGGTCCACGTTTCCAGGGCTATCGGATGTGTTCGAGTTTCTCTTGAGAAGTTTCCACAGGTTTATTAGAGATGAAAAATAACATTTTTGTCATTTAGTGTGTGGATTTATGTTATAGTTTATTCTAAGTTGTGTAAATATTAGCAGCGGTGGTCCAAGCAGTGGTGCAGTGATGCTTATATAGTGGGGAAATAGTAAATCAAGCGGGAAGCAAGAGGGCCGAGATCCTCATACAACCGTTTATTACTCCTAATTAATATATGGCTGACTCGGATGGCGCTTGCCTGCCAAATGTCTATGTAATTGTCCTAGCTGTTGAAAAGTGAACAGGCGGAGTCAGGGAGGCGACTCAGCATGTGAAGGACACTTTAAGAGGACGGCCACTTCCCTGCATACAGCTCGGTCTGACGCTCCAAACAGCACGCCCAAAGGGGTTAAATCCTTGCCTGCATCAAAGCGGGAGAAGCACCATAAAAGTGGTTTTACTACTGTTTGTTCAGGAAAAGCAGCAAGTGGATGAGGCTGTGTGGAGCTGTGCATTTACAATGCTTTCAGTGCTGGGGTGAAGACATTTTTGAGCTGGAGCCAGGGACATGGTGTTCCTTTTTCCTCTGTAGCTGGTTGGAGTGTGACGTCGGCTGGCACGCTGCCTAGCAGGGTCAAGTTGAGTCAAATAAAGAGAACAGATTGGCTGACAGCGCCTGGTATGCTCGGTCTTGTCTGCACATGACAGGAACTCAGGTTTCTAGTGGATTTTTCCATGTGAACTGATTTCCTCGGGTGCTTTAAGACATGATGCAGCAAAAAAAAAAAAAGCTTTTGTTACTATATCCATGGATTAATCAGCCTGACAGTATTTCAGTGTACCATGTCCACCCACTGTTCCTTTGAGCTTGTTGACTTTATTTAATTATTGTTAATTGACTGATGGCTGAGTCAGGTGTTAGTCAGTGTTTAACTTTAATGTCAATAAAGTTTCATGTCATGTACCTTTTTTTTTGTTTTTATTTTTTGGAGTAGGTAAATGAGCTTGAGATCTCGGGTTATGCGTCTGATGGAGAGGACATTAGCGGGACGTTCACCTCCAGCAAACCGGACTCTGAGATCTTTCCCCTCCAAAGTGGCGAGGGCAGCAAAAAGTCTGTCAGTGACTGGCTGAGATGTCAGGCGATGCTGCAGACGCCCAAAAAACAGGCGAATAGGCAGTCCAAGACCCCGGAAGACTCCGCCAAAAAGAGAAGAAAGTTTAAAAGGTTTGATTTGTGAAACTCTATGTTGATATTTTACTCCTACACTGCAACTTAAATAGTTAAAATTCAATAATATTACATTTTAACCAGATTTACCTCCTAGAGCACAAAACTATAAAACAGCATTGCTTCATAAAGGAGCCAACAAAGTCTACAGACACAACGGCGTATTGCTCTCTGCCAGGTGACTGTCGAAGTTCGATTGTGATGTTTCCACTGCAGAGCTGACGATGAAAGGGACACCTGGTGCCATTATGTGGGTGCTAAATGTCGTTTAAGCCCAACAATCTGAGAGATGGCTATCTGTAGAGCTCAGTGGCTTGTTTGTCTGCATCAGAAAATCTTTTATTCCTCTTTGAAACAAATCGTTCTGCGCAAGCCTCATATGTTCTCTCTGTGTGTGTGTGTGCGTGTGTGTCACAGTGGAGGTCTGGCAGAGAGGCTGAGTCGACTTCAGTGCAGGCAGAGGTCAGCTATCAGTTTCTGGAGGCACAAGTCCATCTCTGACGCCTCGGCAACCACAACAGGTGAACCTCCTCACACCAGCCTGCTGCCTGTAGCAGATGAAGTCATGGTTTTGATCGAATGAATCCGTTTTTAGGTTTAGCAGTGAACTTTGATTTGTGAGTGGGATGAAGCCCACCTCTTGGCATTTATTTTTATCTATTTTTTTCTTTCCCCCTGTTTTGCACACGTGTGATGGTACGGAGGGGCCACTCTCAGGAAACGATGGCTGCAGTTTGATCATTGTGGCTCTGAACTGTGAACTCACTATGTAGGTGACAGGAAACTGCTTGCCTAGTTCATTTTTTTTCTTCCTTTTTCCTTTCCGTGGTGTAGTAAACCACTTGTGCTCGCTGGTTCTTTAAGTGTAGGACATAAGATCACCTAAAGGTGACAGTTGATGTGGAAAAACAACAGCTTTGACTAGAGTTTGTGGGCAGTTGATGGTTTGATTAGCCTTACACGAAGAATGCAGAGGTTTATTCTTAGTTGACCTCATTTTCAAAGTCTTATCAACATTTGATTTGATCTGTTCACTTCCACACAGTTGAAAAAAAAACTTTTCAGAAAATATTCATTCCTTTTCTTTTTCTTAAATCTGGCGCATGGTGCCTTCCATGTGGTCAGAACTAGCAGCAATGTTGCCCGACTAGATTGTGTTGTTTTAGGAAACATCTTTGTTTTAAAAATATCAGGTGATGTAAGCCTTCTCACAAGAGCACGTGCTCACACGGAGGGCGTGGTTCAGGAGTTTTGCAGTTTAGAGACTAAAATCACAAAATAAATAAATAACAGAACCTTCATGTTTTTGTACATTTTAATGCCTCTTCAACAACAGCCTTGATGTGATTCACTCTTTATTATATTCAACATCTTCAATGTAATACGTTAACTTTTTAAAACTCAGTTTTACACACATGCAGCAGAGTTTTCCTTCTTTCTCACATTTGAAGTATCCCTGCAGGGCATCGTCAAATTTCACTCCCCTTCATTATCTCTGAATTTCATGCGAAAAGCACAGTCAGCGCTGTGGTAAAATTCCAGATATTTGCACTGTCATACCCAAGTCAGCCAGTAAAAATAAAGTCACAGTTACACAGTGCAAATTGTTCTGGTTCTAAAAGTGAATTACTCTCATAACCCGTAACGACTCCCATAGAGAGCAAGCGGTACACTCTGTACTCACACATGCTAACATCTGTGTTTTTGTTGCTCTGCTCTCCAGTGGACAGGCCCGGCGTGCTGGTTCTGGAGGTGCTGCGCATCCACGAGGAGTGCAGCATGCAACTGGCTCTCTGTGAGCAACTCCATCCCCCCAGAGACGACCACCAGAGCCAGAAATCTGTCTCGGAAGAAAAAACGCACACGTTGGTGTTATTCAACAGGGAGACCGCAGCTCAGCTGAGCCCTGCACCCAGAGATATCATCCACATTCACCCGCCGTGGTGAGAGGATGCATCCAGCATCACACTTTCACTTCCTGTTCACTTAGATGTTTGCTTAATTTTTGGCTTCCAGGGTTAAAATTGTACGCAGATTTTGAAGAAAAAGGCAAAAGGGTTTGTTTTGGTTTTCAGCTTTTTGGGTTTACCATGAAGAGTTGCAACCAGCCATGGGCTTTGCTCTGAAAGCTTTCACCTGAATCACTAATGATTCGAGGCAAGACTCTGCTATACACACATTTAAGTGTGTTTTCCTCATTTAAAGCGTCCTGCGGGTTTGCTTGTGGAGGGGGGGAAAGTGTTTAGGACTGGAAAACGGATGCAACAAACATCACTGATGAAACAAAGGTGATGAATTTGTCATCGGTGAAATGTAAAATTAGGTTAACGCACCAGTAAATAAACAGAATTGAAACTAAACTGCAAACCACAAACACCAAGATGGAGCTGCTTACATTCAGATTAACAATGAGATTTCTGCAGCTTTGTTTGTGGGCTGATGATGGGACTGCTACCCAACAGCATCACAGCAGTGTTTGAGCAAAAAAATAAATAAACAAATAAAGCAGTTACGTGTAAAATAATAGTGTATGTATTATCACCTAACGTTAGGTATTAGAGAGGCAGGTGCAGAGGTCTAAGAGCCAGAAAGCTGCAGGAATACATGCCTTCAGGGAATTCGAATCTGGAAAAAATATTACGAAATTCCTTGCAGTTGCATGCTCTCATATTTAGAGATATAGTAAGATAAGTCTCAGCTTGTTTATTTTCATTAGCTATGATTTCAGACTAAGAGTCGATTTTAATTAGGTGATTTTGAAGTTTATTTGCAAAAACATGCATGATTTGCCCTCTGCAAATCGCATCCTCAGCAACCTCTGTTCAGTGAAATAGTTCACACAGAACCGAGCTAACCGCTAACGGCTAGTCCGATTACAGCAACGACTAAACTGCAATGCTGCTGTTCTCAAAAGCAGCTCCAGTCTGCTTAATTCATGCACCGTCAGTGCTGACACGACCTGCGTATTAGGGTGAAATTCTAGGGTTTTGAGTTTTGGTATTCAGACCATTTTCATGAGTTCAAAATTAACTTAAGGTACCAACTTCAAAACAGATGACTTTCACATTCGGTACCTACATTTCAAACCACTTTATGTTAATTTTTATTTAAAAACTCGTTGGCTGCTGTCAGTTTTTCATAGCATGTTTTTTTTTTCAGCAGTAATATTAAATTCCAGCAAGACTAGACACCAGGAAGCACCTGAAGTGCTACAGTTTGCTGGTGCTACTCAGATTTACACAGACACAACTGCAAAAAGTGAATAATTTTTAAAATAAGTATACTTAGGAGGCTGGAGTGCTTTAAGATCTGCAGCTGTCCTTTTTGGTCTTGGCTGTGCTCAGAGTAGCTGTTCTGTAGGTTGTGGGCTCCATTTCTCCAAACCCAGGCTGTTCAGAAAGCTATCACCACTGGCTAAGATGGTAAAAGTCTAAAACATTTAGACATAAATGTGCTTCCAAATGATCTATATATTCCCTTAATATGTCAATAGGTGTGAAGAATGAAGCTGTTTCCTGAATTTTGATGTGACATCATCTCCAAGTGATTTTTTGCCCAACAGCCTTCAGAAACTGTGTGTAAACACTGTAAAACAACATTGTCAAATAGGCTATAATTATTACTGAGAAACTACAACCAGTGACAAAGGTTTTCTGATTTAGACTGGTGAATGACAAATGGATTGTGTTATGTGTTGCGATATTTAGATATTTGATTTGGAACATACGGTCTGTTTCTAAAATAGCAGAAACGAAGAGGGTCACACGTTTTCTGAGTTAAGTTGGTGTTTTTGCTTGTTTCTTTGGAAATTGTGTCTTGGCAGGCGGTCAAAACTACACACACACACACACACACACACATGCGTGCACACACACAGAATGAAGGACTGAAAAACTACAGACTAGAGAGAGAGAGAGTCAGCTCTGAAAAGAATGCTGAGGAGGCAAAAGACAAGACTGGGCGCTTATTTTTATTAAAAATGTTATTTTAAATTCTTTATTCTGCATTATTGGTGCAACTTATTATTCTGAGCTCACAGCAGAGCTCACTAAAAGTCTAGAAATAAGAAGCTCTCCTTCCAATGGGGTGGGGGGTGGGTTGTGTCTGTTGTGGAGTTGGAGCAAGGCAGCACTTGACTCCAGCTGTTGGGAGTTTGGGTTGAGTCCGCTCTGGAATATCCAGGCTGGCGGATGCACAGGGGCCTCCTTAAAGCTCTGACGTCACGAACAGCTCCAGGGAATTCTTCACATTCCTCTTCCTGGCAGTAGTTAGGTCATTTCCAGAAAACAGGGGGAAAAACACAGAAGGATTATTTTCTGGAGCATTTGGGAGTAGAGAAAGAGAGAGAGAGAGCGCCAAAAGGCTGAGATTGAAAACACATGCTGGACTGAGAGTATCTCTGGCTTTAGCACCTCTCTGTGGCCCATATGTTTCATTTTTTAAGGAGCTTAACCCTCTTAAAAAACAGCTAGTTCCTCTAATTATTTTTTTGCAAATTTGTGCATATTATTGATTTAGTTTTTTTTTTAATCAATTTTATAATAAAAATAAAACAAGAACGTGTTATTTTGTCCAACTTTTAGGCGGAAAAAACCTGTTTAGACCAATGTGTCTGGTAAAATTCCTCTGACCAGTTTCCTGTGACACACGGGGCGTGTGGGTGGGGGTTCAACCTCCTACATAATTTCTGCCGGTAGGTTGGCTCCTCCCACCTCCCACGCCTTGTTTTGAGTGGGCCGAGCCCCGAGCGGAAATACCTGCAACGATTATTCACTCACAAACTGTGACGCCAGCGGCCCCGGCCACTCCTTAACCCAGTTAGTTACCTGTCTGATGATGACGGCTGCCCACTCACCTGTTGACAACCGGGTCACGCTTCCTGCTGGTTGGATTGAACTGGTTTTAACAACAGCACATTCTGCTCAGCCAAGATTTTGCTGTGATAAGCGATCTCTGTGCAGATGTTGTGATTAACGTCACATACTGGATTCATCATAGCACAATGGATTGCTTTGGGTTGAAGCATGTGTAAAGATTGCCAAGAGGAAGTAAAGTGGGGGTTGAATATTTACTCGTTCCATCTTAGAGCACAATAATTCAATATTTAATTGAAAATGGAGGATAATTTTACAATTTGATGTGTTTATTATTAAAGGGGCATTATGGAAGTTTGACAGCCAAAACATGTATAGAAATAATAAATGTTTTCTTCATAAATTCTCCTGCAATGCCCTGGTCCTGTAGAATGAGCCCTGGCATTTTTACTGTGATTGCCTGTTTTTCTGTAAAATCACAGAAAAAGAGAGCTGCTCGGGTCGAGCAGGCTGCTTCATGCGCGTTCACGCTCAGACATAGCCCGTAGCATTTGCTATCAGTAGCTTTAGCAGCAGAGAGAGAGACTGTGCCACTTTGTCGCTGTTCCTAACGCCTAGTGACAAAGCTAGCTACATATCTGAGGACCCTTAGCTACTTTCTGTAGAACTTTCTTCTAGATATTTCCTGCAAATTAGCAACAAAATAGCCATTTTCGCTCCGAACCGTTCTTTGGTTTGACGTTGTTTCAGCTTTCATCAAGGATATAAAAGTTTCAGATGCTATGAATGTTACTGGTGTGTAGCTCACCTTGTAAGTTTTCTGACTCCCATGCAGAAGAGCCAGGTTCGATTCTGGATGTGAACATAGTTCATGTAGAGTTTCTTTTTTACATTAATGGTAATTTTTGTTTTTTACAGTAAGATGCCCAAATTTTTATTTGAGACTCGCCGAACGGCATTGAATTCACAGATGAAAAAGATGTGGGTTCAACTTTCATTTTGGAACAATTTTTAAAGCAAGGGAAGGGAATGATCTGAGCATGCAGGAGGACTGACCCATCATAAACGTTTGTCTGCTGTGCTGAAGAGAAAGGTACAGAACCAAATTATTTAATTAATTAGCTGCATGTTCTCCCGTCCCTCTGTCCTCCGGGCCACACACACACACAAGGGACTGTCTCAGCTGTTATTTTCGTTAAGGAGTGTGCACGTACAGCATGCGCGCCTCGTGCACAAGCCTACTATTGAAGCTGCCTTTAGCTTTTGGCCTGAGGGGGCAATCGTGAGCATAAAAATTCAAAAGTCCGTAAAGTCCCTTTAACAAAACAGAAGTGTTGTGCTATTAGATGCTGAGCGTTCAAATACTGATGTGTAGTTAATCGTAAAAGTGCCAGTTGGGGAATCACTTGTGTTACAGTTTAAAAAAAAGTGAAATGACAATAAACATTATCAAAAAGATAGGAATTTTTATATTGAGTATTTCTAATTTAATATGGGCAACACTAAGTAAAAGTTGATTCATTAGTAGTGGGTTTTACCTGCATTACATCCTGTGGATTTCCATAAAGAGTAATATTTTATCATGTATAAAATCAGTGTTGCTTTGTAAAACTCACGTTGTCAAAGACCAGCTGTTAAATAACAAACAGGCTTTGCTTAGGGATGCTTTTAGATGCCTTTTTACCCTACAAATATTGGTAATGGTACATCACATGTACATATGTACAGGGTACTGACAGGAGTCTCAAAGTCATTTACTGACCCCTATAAGTACCCTGTATTTACCCCTGTAAATACATAGTATATATACCCTCTGTAAATACCCTTATTTATCCATTATGTACCCTGCTTGTTCCCCTCATACTACCCTGTAAGTAATTCCATAGTTACCTCTGTAGTTACCCTCTTCTTACCTTGTATGTATTTTTTACCTACCTCCGTAAATACCATGTACTTAAAGTGACTGTATTTTCCCTGGCGATAGGGGGCAGCACATACCTAAATCATTGCAAGCATGCAGTATTTTTGTGTTCGAGTAAGGCATTACCAACAGATGGCAATTAGGGTCAAAAGTCCCTGGGTGTACTTTATCAGATCGTTCAACCTCCAGCAAAATGACAAGCACATCAGACTGCCTTTCATCACTGGCAACGAGCGAAGACGGCAACGTTTAAGAATGGTGAAAGTTTTGTAACTGCTTGTTACAAATCAGTAAATGTGTTTTGTCCTCAAGGGCTCACGTAGAAGGACACATTGCCTCTAATAAGGCGTCGCCCAGAGACTTGGACCCACTCCCATGTATTTTAGACTGGATTTTTATGGATATATGTTAGAAAGCTGACAATAATTTTCTACAACTGGGCATCATTTAATTCATTTTCAACAACATTTCGATGTTTCGAGAGATTAATGGTAAAAACTAAACATTGGCTCTTTAACTATAATGTACTTTGTATTTACTCCTTCCATAGGTATCCTGTTCTTATTCCATACATTCTCCTATAAGTACCATGAACTCACCACTAGTTTGTATCCCCATGAGTACTATACTACATCCTAGTAGCCCCCTGTAAGTACCAGAATGTAATATGTATTGCTACCCAAATGATAGTCTATTTATTTAAATATTTAATAGGAATAAAATATGAATAAAGTTTGAACTTTTTTTTGTTTTGTTTTCTTTTTTAAATTAAACCTTTAGAAACAATAGGGCCTTTTGACAAACGTCAATCAGCAGATGAGACTTCCAGGTGTTTGCACCAGCATGGTTGAGATTCACTTTGGTAAACACATAATATTGTTGGTGTTAATAATCTTGCTGCAGGGCATTCAGGGCGGGGGGGTTCCCACGTCGTGTTGATTCATTTTTCCCATTTATCTGCGTGTCTAATTTCTCGGCCTTTACAATCAGCATGAGTCTGAGACACGCTGTGACATGTACTGGAGTTTCAGTCACAGAGTGCGTACTTGGCTCTGAGTCAGTGGTAAGCCATCAACACGTTATTATCCATGTTACATGTGGGAGAAATTAAGCTGTAACTATAACTTGGCACAAAACGTGCTGTAAAAAATGGTCTGGTCGTTATTCAGCTTCTTTTATTCTCCGACCACTCCGGTGTGTGATATTTACCTCTGTGGGCTGGATTGAGGAGAGGTCTCGCTTCTGTTCACATTTTACCCTGGTAAAACTAAGAATGTGCACAAGAGTTCAACAGACTTTTTAATGCGACAGTCATTTTCCTATGAATGCAATGAAATGTTTCCTTTTATGTTGTTACGTGGAAATTTAGGGTTTCGCCTCCTTAAAAGAGTATCAGTGGATTTTATGGCTTGCCTTCAAGGGGTTAACGTATTTGAACTTATGCACGTAGGCACACACTTGTGGAGGTGGCTGTCTTAAGCCCTCTCTGCATTGACACAGCAACCTTGATTTCTGAGTTTGTTTGTTTTTGTTTGCAAGGTTTTCTAGACCAATGTTTCCCATGCTTTATCCCTTGAGGACCCCTTGCTTGTGTCCAGGATAAACCAGAGTCCCCAACAACTACTCCTAACTTCATATATACATTAAAAGTGGCTATTTACAAACTTTATACAGACATCCAGAGTTATAACTCTTATTGAGAGCTTTAATTATACTTGTGGGTGTGTTTTGGGGTTTTATTAATGTAACTTTTTCAATTATAATTAGGGATGTCCCGATCCGATCACATGATCGAAAATCTGCCCCGATCACGTGGTTTCAGACTGATCGGGACTCGGGCTTTATTTCCCGATCCGGACTCGGATACTGGGTTCAAATTACAGGAGAGCAACTTGGTTCTCCTTAATGGTTGTCAGGCTCCCCCGATGCCCTTAACTTACACACCCAGAAGGACAGATCCAGTTTCTACCTACATTATATTATTTATATGGGCTCAGCGTAGCGGGGATTCTTTTGAGCAGAGCAGCAGGCAGACCGCTGATTATTCATGAACTCCAGCTGCGTTCTGCACACGGCCACAGTAACATTTTCTAAGTTTCTAAGTTGCATCACCAAAAATATACAATTGACACACAGTCATTTGTGTCCGTTCATTTTCTCTCCGGTAAGTTCTGTCTGTATTTGAGCATGATGTGTGGACGCGCTCGCGCTGCCCCTTCTGCAGCGCTCTCTAAGTTACTTGTGAGGTGGAAAAAGAAGGAAGCAGGCAGGAGTTTTTCTGGAGGACTGGGAGATGCAGAAAGTTCAGAGACAGACGGGACAGGAAGACAGGAAAATAAAAACCAAGAAAACAAAACAAAGTTCTTAAAAATATTAAATGTAGGGAGATTTATCCCGCCACACGTTTGTACCTGTATAAAGCAATAATTTATCAGCATGTAGTATTTATATATTGTTGGTACAATTCAGATCATCTTCAAAACTCTGTCCCATGCCCAGGGACGTATCTAAGGATTTTGGGCCCTAGGCAAAATAGACCCCTGCCAGGTATTTTCAGTTGAAGTGCTATCTGTTTTTATATTAGACTTTTTATATTTGCAATAAAGTCCAAAAGTGAAGAATTTATGTTATTTATTACTTGATTGTTCAAGCTACCTCACAGAAGTGATCTGTTGTTAAAAATTAAAATAAAAAGGTAATTAAATAAAAAAATAAGGAACATTCTGGAACTGTTTCTTCCTTTTTTCTTTTCTTTTTTTTAATGTATCGAAAGTATCGGATCGGGACTCGGTATCGGCAGATTCTCAATCAAATGACTCGGACTCGAGGAAAAACCTGATCGGGACATCCATACTTATAATCTTGTAACCTCACAACCTCTTCACAGACAAAACACCAGCACAGACAAGTTTGTAGGGACCCACTTGGGGGATCGCAGCCCCCAGGTTGGCAACCACTGATTTGTTTTAGCTTCAGATCCACAAAATATCAGTTTTTAAAACATGCAACCCTGTCTCTGATTTGACAATACAAATAAGCTTAAAAATCTAAATAAATTCAGGGCTCTAAGAAAACCCTTCAGCTCATGTTTACTCATTTCCATTTATGACTGTTAAGTTCAGTTATTGTAGCAATTATGCTCAAAATATGGCTTCAAAAATTGTTTTTGAGTTTTGTTTTAATTTCTGGACGTCGTATCAAGACCCCCTTGGTAACCCAAGGTGAGGCCCTGACCCCAACTTTGGGAACCACTCGTCTAGACATTTGATTTTCTTGCTATTTCACTTCATTAACTCAAAATTTTCTAATCTTTCATCAAAAACAACACACGGTTATTGCCTCGCGTTGCTGTGACAACAGCACTTGAGTTCAAAATTGATGGATTTAATCTCTTTACAGGCAAAGTCTGTCTATAGAGGGCTTTAGCTGTTCTGTCATCCTGAACACACACTTCAGCCAGAAGGTCTTCTCATCAAGAACCGGGCTCTCTGCAGAAAGACGCATGCCGTATCATTTGGGTCAGATGTTCAGACCTCTGGATGAATGTGGAACCAAGCAGGTGCGTATGTTTCCCTTTATTTCAAAAATATATTTTGGGTTTGAATTTTCAGTTCAGGTGATGATGTATTCTGAGCAGGATCTTGTTGGATTATTTTAGACTTTCGGGAAACTTAATTGTGCTGCTGACAAACCTCCCTCACAGTCGCTGAGAGAAAAATGTAATCAGTCCATAAGATCAGCAGATGAGCACGTAATGACAGCTCTAGATTGCTGTGTGAGCAGCGGTTTGGCTGCAAGCCACCGAGTTCTGCTCAGGTTAACCCTAGAGAGTGAAAAAGAAACTTTAGGACTCGTGTCAGACTTGTTTATGGGTTCATATTTTAGTTAATCAAAGTTGCCATTTAGCTGATTTCATTTTTTTTTTTTTTTTGCCCCAGGGTTCTTCACAGTCAGTTGATAATCATCAGCTAACAACAAAAGCTAGCATTTTGGTATGGAAGAGAAGAACTAGTCATGTTTGGTCTTTTTTATGTTCATTCAAGCAGCATCTTAGCTGATGGGTCACTCATTTGCTTACTTAAATCTTACAGCAATTGAACAAAATTTCCTGGTGGCTGTTGGAAAAAAAACACCCCAGATTTGTGATAAAGGACAAAAGAAAAAAATGAAAGGTTTGAAGCTACATTGGCAAACCTGCAGAACAAGCTAGCTTAAAACATTGTTTTCATGCCTCTTAATGTTCTATAGATATAAATATAATGTTGAGATTAAAAAAAAGTCTCTTGCATTGGTCTAGAAACCTCTGCCAGTAACACGGCTCAGACCGAAACCAGTGATTGGACCATTTGGTTGTCTGTCTGACCGAACCATCTCACTTCTGCATTAACTTGGGTCCTCCACTCATTACATGCTCATGTATTTAGCAACAGAACACCACTGGTGTGAGAGTTTCTCTGCTCAATAATATTTAGGACAAACCACCAGAGTCCCATAAAGAAAATCCTCATTTGGAGTCGCGGACAACAAAAAAACCTAGAAAATGGCAACAGTTGTTTAGTGCTCGCTCGTTTACTCTGGCAATGTGGGTTCCGGTTTCAGGCGGACGTGGCCCAGGGATGATGGCCGACGGGAGGTGAGAGTTCGTTACCGTGTTTGTGTTTAAAAGCTAACTTGTTTTTGAGGATTTGCTATTGCAGCTTCAATAAAACATCAATATTGTGTGATGATATGTTTGTTGCAGCTTGATTATGACTTACTGATTATGTTCTCAGCTACTGTGTGTTTTTATGCATTAGCACATAGCCTGTTTCACACATTCAACAATATCAGCAGGCCTACTTGTGCTTTTATAAACCACAAGTACATAGACTTTTTTTTTCATTGATGGATATGCTCTTTTCTGAGAGGCGGTTTCTGGTTCTAACCCCCTGCAGGTTGCGGCTTCGTGCGTTGTTGGGGGTTCAGGAGCTTTGGCGAGACACTGCGTCTCTCTGCTGGAGGCCATTGAAGGACTTGGACAGGCCGGCTCCATGGACCAGGATGTGGATGTGGTTGTCCAGAGAGTTTACTCCGTCCCTTTAGCTGACTCCTCTCCTGTGTCCATCCTCAAACACAGAACTCGCTCCTCCACGGCTCCTCCTCCTGAAGAGAGAAGCACAACCAGGTACTGTTGGACTGGCTCGTAACTAATGGCCCAGTGAAGGATTTCATTTATAACTTGACACCAAAAGAAAAAAAGAAATCATGTTTTGTCTGTTGTTCATCACTTGCAACCATATTTATCACTATTTTTTTAGACTCTCATGCTGGTTTCTTTAGTTTCAAGCCTCATGTGCTTCTCCTTTGTGACATGATGTGTCTCAGTGGTTGTTCTATTGTTCGTGGAGCAGCAGGCCCCACAGAGTGCTCATGCTTTCTCCAGCCATATGGCATTGTTTGACAAAGGACACAAACATTTTTAATTGAATCCAGTCTCTCTGTTAGTGATTCTGGCCAATTCTCAGGAAAGGCAGCATGAACTTTTTTTAAATCCTTTGCACCATTAAGCCAGCGTTGAACTGGTAAGAAACTCTTAACTTAAAAAGTTTTAACCCGAGTTTTTCTTCACCTTGACAGAAAAGATAATGAAGTAACGAAAATCTTGCAGGGGCTTAGTAAAAATGTTATAAAGTTTGACCAGTGTGTTACTGGAGTCGGTAATGCAGGGAATTATGGAATGTCACTGTTTTGAAAAAGTATAAGTGATGGGATAAGAAAGAAAAAGCTGAAGCTTATTTCCTTAAAAGTAGAGAATTTGACCATTTTTATCACACCAGTAACCCAGGAACCATCCTAAACATTAAATAAAACGCTAATAAGACATTTTTTGTAAATTCTTCTTAAAGGGAACCCTTGGATTAGGAAGAATTTTCTTTCATTTGGTTGTTTTTATTACTGTCCAATAACTGAATCCAGAAACCCTGGAGAGGACGGTCCCTACACTACCCTGAGTCCATCGTCTTACTGGGTCACTTCAAGCACAGACTGTAACTGTAGGTGAGGACTGGAATAAAAATCAATAGTTTTAGAAAGTGATAGCTTAGTTATTTTCGACTCATCTGAAAACGTTTTATTCTTTTACTTTCTAAGAAAAGATGTTCCTGTGGTGTGAATTTGGCTAACAAATCACCAGTGGCATCATCGGAGTCCACCCAGCTGTCTGCTTAAGCCGGGCGTACACTGTGCGACTTTTTCACTCGTAGCACTCAGCTTCAGCTCAAACTGTACGACTTCCTCGCAGGGCAGATTTCACGAGTCATGTGCTCACACTGCACGACCCATTTCTCGGATGCGACCTGACTGCTCACACTGTACGTCTGGTAGCAACACGTCAGACCTAAAAATATGCTAAAAATAGCAGTTTTTACTCAACACGACAGACTTTTTTGTCTTGTTTTGCCTGTTGTCCTTCAGGGGTGCTGCAGGAGGACACACAGGGATTTATGGGGGTTGGATGAGGAAAACGAAATAAAGAAAGTAAATCTGTGTTTTGTGGTCAGTTTAATTTGACACGAACACGACAAACACGCTTTCTTGACAATCTTTGTGAGTAAAAAAACGTGTAGAAAAAAAAACGAGCAACGTGTGTTATTAGGGAAATAGTGGGGGAGCGGTGTTGATGCAGGATTGCGCATGCGCCGTGAGCGGTTCTGATACTTTTTGGGTCGCAGCTTCTCGCAGCGCCGCTTCAACAGTGCGATACCCTCACGAGGGACAAGCAAAATATCAAACACGCCAGAAGTCCGTGCAGCTCATGATTGCTGATCGGTAGCTGGTCACGTGGTGTTAATCGCCTCTCGTAACCCCCTGTACACTACACGACACTCAGCGGAAAACTCGCCCCGATCTTGTGGATTCTCGCACGAGTGGAAAATCGGCTCAGAAAAGTGAAAAAGTCGCACAGTGTACGCCCGGCTTACTCCTCTCATTGTTTAAAGGTGTAGTATTCACTCTTGGTAAAAGCTGTTCAAGCTATATTTTGGAAAAATAAAATGCAAAGGTGCCTTTCTTCAGGTTCCCCCCTACAGTCACAGAATCTGATGGTCACAGAAAATGGTATAACACCTGCTTGCGACGCAAACACATACAAGCAGAGACACAGATCTGCTGAGGTGCTAATATCAAAATTTCCAGAACCAACTCCAAACGGAACCTCCTCCCACTCGTTACGTGCTAACTTCTCTAATTTAGTGCTAGAATATAAAGCATGTGGCATTTTTATGGTGAAAAACGAGGCAGTCGTTAGCTCTCTCGGTTTAATCTTCAGTTCAATTTCACAAGAGCTCAGCGCTACCGACGATCTGAGGAAACACCACCTCCAAGAAAATTTGCAGAACACAAAGGGAACTTCGTCCTTTCTGCCTGCTTGATGCAACACTCATTCTTGTGCTACGACCGTTGAAACTTAGCTGCGTTCCCAGAGAATAACCTAAACGTTTCTCAGCAAGAACAGGACCAGGCTCTAAATAAAACATGTAAAACGACTCCTTAAAGTGACAGTGTGTATATTTCCTGGCGATAGGGGGCAGTAGATACCTAAATGGTTGCAAGCAAACTGTTTTTTTATGTTGGAGTAAGACCATATCAATGGATGCCCATTAGGGTCAAAAAGTGCAAACTTCAGCAAAATGACAAGCACATCAGACTTCTTTTTAATCACTTGCAATGAGTGAAGAGGTAAATGTGTAAAACAAGTTTATTAATGGTGAAAGTTTTGTAACCATTTTCTACAAATCAGTAAATGTGTTTTGTACACAAGGGCTCCTGTAGAAGGAAACATGGCATTTTATATGGCGTCGCCCTGAAACTTAGACCCGCTTCCATGTATTTTATACCAGAATTTTATAATTATGTCACGGAGCCGCCAATATTTTTCACTAACTGGTCCTCATTTAATTCATTTTCAATAACATTTTGATGGGATATTTCCAGAGATTAACGATAAAAACTGCACATTGTCACTTTATATTGTGTAGTTTTAATCATTCTTCTCCGGAAATATCCATATGAATGCTGTTGAAAATGAATTAAATGATGCCCAGTTGTTGAAAAATATAAGCAGCTTCATAAAATATAACCATAAAAATCTGGTCTAAAATACCTTGGCGTGGGTCTTAAGTTTCTGGACGACGCCATATTAGATGCGCTGTTTCCTTCTACGTGAGGACAAAATGCATTACTGATTTGTAACAAGCGGTTACAGAACTTTTGCCATTCATAAACGTTGTTTTACACATTTCCTCTTTCACTTGTTACCAGTGATGAAAGGGAGTCTGGTGTGCTTGTCATTTTGCTCGTTTGAAAATTGCGCTCCCCGGGATTTTTAACCCTACTGGCCATCCTTTGGTAAGATCTTACTCGAACACAAATGCCACCTACTTATAATGATTTAGATATGTACTGCCCCGTATTGCCAGGGAAAATACACATCGTCACCTTAAATGAGATTTCCAGACAGAACCAGACATTGCGTGACAGCTACGCTAGCGTACTTTTTGGCTGCTCAGCCGAGAACTCGCATTTTGCACACAGAGGATGTTATCTGCAACAAAGTGAGAGATGTTCAGATCCAATCATTTAGAATGGGGACCAGCGCTGAATTGGATGAGGTTCTTACCAGGATTATACATTTCATAGCTGATTAAATATGTTCATTGTCAAGTAAAATGGCTCTTTTATTATTTTCAGTGGTAAACTGATTTATTGAGGTGAGAAATTCAAAATTCCCAGTTTCTATGCAACTATAGATCAACTCACCAATTTAAAGATTATAACAAGTTACATTTTTTTGCTCAGTGGGTCACATTGTTTCCCTTATCAGACTAAAACAGTACAGCAGTAAACGCCATATGTATTCTTAACGTTAAATGATGTAATCGTTGAATGTAAACATAAAACACGGTGCAAAATCTTTTAAGTTGATTTGTTTATTTTCCTATAGAAAACGTGACTTTTCTTGATCTTGTTTTACGTAGTAATATTTTTTAACCTACCCAACCCAAATATATTGTTACATTACTTCTATTGCTTAATAAGGCATTCAGTGTTTTGTTGACCAGCTTACTGGTGTGTGCTGCTGCTGCAAACAATGTCATTATGATATTCTGAACTGTAAATTTTCCAGCTGCAATAACAAAAACTGAGCTGTAGATTCTGAAACTCTGAATTATGGACCAGTTCAATTGATGAGTCTTTTTAGATTTCTTATTATCCTAAATGAATTATTTTAAGCCGCTTGAATGTTTGATGAAGTTAAGGATATAAGTAAAGTTTCCTGTTATACAGAAGTGGCTTGGAGGCTTTATGTGAGTGGTCTTGTTGTAGTTAATGAATCAGTGAATGCTCCGTTTAGAGCAAACCCATCAAGTATGACCTTCAGTTGCCTCGGCCCTCCCCAGCTTGTTGTTTTTGTTCTTTGCTGAGTAATAAAAGTATTGGTTTCTCTAAAAGTGGAGGGGCCCCGAGGGGCGCTCTGTGGCGAAGGGAGGAGAACTCGGTCAGCTGACAAAGTGAGTGACTAAACAAGCAGCAGTTGTAACGTGACTCTCCTGCCATGCTGCCTGTGTGGCTGGTAAACAAACACCACCCACCCTTTGACCGGAAACACTCCTGCCCTTCCCTCTCTTTCTCTAAAACTCAGCCAGATTTAGCAGGTTCTGTTTGTAGTGAATGGAAGAAGGTGGGGTTGAGGTTTGGAGGTGATATCCAGTTCTAATTCTCTCTTAACTCTTTCTGCTTTTTATGAACAACTGGAACAATGTTCAGAGAATGCATTTATTTTAGCTTTGCCCATTTTTTGGCCTACTTTGTTTACAAGCACTTTTTAAAAAAATCCACACAGGGCAGCAGAAGCTGTAACACCTGTATGAGTCCTATGATTTGTGTTGTTCTGGGTGAAATCGCTGCACGTCAATACTATTCGTTACATTGTGTTGCTTGGAAGACTTTTTCAGGATGTGTGCCTGCTCTGCATGGTAGTTTACTCCGCAGCCCACTTGGCCCGGTTCTGTATAAAGAGCAGGACACTTTGTACACTCTGACTCTCTCTCTTCCTCTGGTCAGCTTGCTCCTTTCTTTTTGATTTCTTTTTTTCATCCTTTGTTTTGTAGCGACAACACTCAGGGG